AGTGTTAAGTTTCCAACCTTGATTGTTTGATTGTAATGAAATTCAAAACGTATTTCTGATTTGAATTCAATTACAATCATTCGATTTAATATAATAAATTTTTCAATGAAATTATTTTTATAAAAAAAAAATGATAAGCTTTTTTCCTTGTGAGTCATTGTGCGATATCACTGTTACTATAAACGCCATTAAAAAAAAATAACAGAATATCTACGACAGCAAAAAAGCACTTCAGAAAAAAAATGAAAATAGATAAATAATACAAAAACGTAAACTTAAATAATAAAACAATACGGCGGACTGAATGAGCAAAAAAAAAAATGATTTTTAAAGTGAGAATATATTGCAAAAAAAAGACAATCCGTGTTAAAGGAGTATCGCAAGAGAAAAAAATTTTGAGAGATTTCGTTCTTTTTGTACTGTCATTGAAAGCCACCTACTATAGATATGTTTACCTAACAAAAATAGCACCCATTTTCTGTCGCAAGATAACAAATAGTTAATCACACATATGTATTTAACTACACCATGTTGTGGTTGTTGGTGCTGCTTTTGTTGACATTTATTAGAGTCTGGTGTGGAATAAAAAAATAATAATGAGAGCATGGCAATGATAAACGGATTTTTATACAAAAGCGGTGCCAAGGTAGATCTAACAGGTAACCGCATCGGCGAATTGCTACAACAAAGCAACTTTTGTGGTCCCCTCAAATGTCAAAATTGGCATCTAAGGCGAAAAACATAGATTCGCCATGACATTTAAAAGTTGCGGCAAATTTGTTTCAACCAATCAGAAACGAGGTGTTTGTTTACATTTTATTTTGTGTCCCTCTCGTCGTAAACGAACGTCGCAAAAAAAGTTTTTATTGTAAAACAAATAAGAGTAAAATTAGTATTAATTGTAGTATTGCGATATTTTTTTAAACAAAGAAACTTATAATGACTATATTTTACTGGTTTAAACCGAAAGTTTTCCGGAACTGCAAATGACAAGAGTCTAATTCTTGCACTACTTCCCGTGATGTGCTTTGGGAATCTTAGATGTTGAGGCTAACTTAATTCTTAAAGCTGCACTTCTAACCTCCTTCCTTCATGTTCTTTTAATTTTTTACTGGTTTCACTCTTAACTTACTCTTAAATTATTTGAAATATTATAAAAAGGTACTTTTAGGGAAGACAACATAAACAAATTTGTTGTTGCATTCATTTAGGGCGAATTCTTCATTACAACAATTTGTTTTGACATTTAATGGTGCCGTCAGCTGGCCTGATGCGATTACCTAGTACATCTACCTTGAGCGGTGCGTTTGCAGGTCTTGGCTGGCGAAAAAAAGAAAGAGTAACAAGAAGAGAGTGTGAAGCAGCAGGATGTTGAAGACTTGTAGTTGACAATTTAATACCCTACATAGCTGTAGGTTTCGTTTATTTTTACAAATAAAGGGCATCATGAAATTTGAGAGGCTTTTTCACAGCAATGAATTCCTTCTTGTGATCAACTAACTTTTTGGGTCAACACTCGAAAAAAAAAACATTTTTTTGAAATGGTTTTTTTTTTGCAGAACCCTCCATCATTTGGAACGAATTTGGTAATTCTAAAAACAATAAAATCCGTTAAAAATTCTCTTAAAATCTTAAAAATACCGGATGTAGCTGTTATATTAGGGTCTATACGACGACATGGACCTGCATAGGAAACATTTGTCATAAGCCATTACAATATTCAAATGCGAAAGTTAAAAACAAATCGGTTAATCATCAAAATACCGAATATTGGGAGGCACCGTTATATGGGGGCTATACGATGACGTGGACCTGCAGAGACAATTTTCAGTCATAGGCTGCAGTATCCATTACGAACTTTAAATATCAAATTTGAAACAATTCCGATGAATAATGTCGCAAAAATCATCAAAATACCGAATATTGGGAGGTACCGTTATTTGGGGGGTATACGTAGACGTGGACTTGCACAGACAAGTTTCTGTCTCAGACTGTAGTATCCATTACGAACTTTAAATACCAAATTTGAAACAATTCCGGTGAATAGTGTCGCTAAACTCATCAAAATACCGAATATTGGGAGGTACCGTTATATGGAGGCTATACCAAAACATGGACCTACATGACCGATTTTCAATACCAAAAGTCCTGCAGACATAACATACATTTGAGTAAAATTTTATCAATCTAATTCACTTCGTTCGGAAGCTAGAGTGATTTCCACAGACGGACGGACATCGCTTAATCGACATAGAATTTTATGCTGAAGAATGCTGCCAGAATGCTGTCTGTTTACTTTTTACAGCTTTCTTAAAAAAAGAGAATACCACTACCGTACTCTCAGAGAAAGATTTGTGTGTTAAGGTATTTTAAAAATTTCCAATGTCAAAAGTCTAACTAAGTATCCCTGGAATCACAGTGAGCAAAGATATTGAAGTATAAACATGGAAAAAGACAGAGAGAAAATATGGTAACCATGTAAACACCTACCTCTGTTGTTGGGATATAACAATAATACAGGTGAGATGAAAAAACTGTAACCAACTTCAGACTGCTGTCATTTCTAAGCCACTCGTCCGACAGCTGTTAAAATTATTCCAGTGACAGCTCATTATATTGTTTACAAGCGTACAAAAGCATTTTGGTGAGAATTTTCCAGAAAGAATGTTATTCGTGATGGAACTCAAGCGTGATAGTGTGATTTCTGGAAAACCACAAGTGGCTATCGTTAGAGCACTCCAGCATTTAAATGTGAATAAATTTTTTGTGTCTCGTACCATCGCTCGTCATCGTGATACTGGTAGCGTAACTCGACGTCAAGGAAGTGGACGGAAAAAAACAGTAACATCAGCAGAAATTGTTTGAAAAGTAAAGAAGCGTCGCAATATTCCATTCGGCAAATATTGAAAAAATGAGCTCGGGGTAATGCCACTGAAATTCTAAAAAGTGCAAGAACTTACACCGCAACTGAAAGAAAATAGACTCAAAATAGCTAAACTGGTGAACTGTAGAATTTGGTTTTCTTCGTCTCCGATGAGAAAACATTCGTGGTCCAGCAGTTTGTAAGCAAACAAAATGATCGTGTTGACTTGCTAAAGAGGTCGAAAAAGGCTGAAAATGTGCACCTTCGGTTGGCCACCAGAAATCAAGCGGCCATGGTGATGGTGTGGGCCGCTATAATAGCCGATGGTCGATCTCCGCTCGTATTAATCGACAGTGGCATCAGAATAAATGCTGAATATTATGGCGAAAATATTCTGGAGGGGGTATTAAAGCCTTGGGCACGCAAACCTTTTTTGCCGGAGACATTGGACATTCCAACAGGATTCAGTAGCATGAGGTTCCTTGCTTCATTTACAGCGCACAATGGCCATCAACATCTCACTATTGTGTCTGGAGTATGTTTTAAAGCAAGGTTGGCACTAAAAAATACCATAGTGTCAATCACCTCAAGCAAGCGCTTCGCTGGGAATGGACCAAAATACCGTAGAGCAACATTCGGGCACCGTAGATCAACGGTTTGATTGGCCGTTTGAAGGCCATAATTCAGACAAATCTAAACATATTCTAAAATTCGATGCTATTTCCGACATTTTTTGCTTTCATTCAATAAAATTTGAAAACAAAAATATGTAAAAATTATGGCGTTTGACTTTGTTGCTTTTTTATCTCTCCCTGTATATTGGAGTTATATTATATGGAATTCAGTTGGATGCGCTCAAATTCAGGTCAATTGGACTGATATTGACCATTTAGTGCACAAGGAACCCGAAATCGGTTGAAGATATATATGGAAGCTATATCTAAATTTGAACCGACTCTCACCAATTTCAATAGGGTTTGTCTTTGGACCACATAAATATTATATGGAAATTTTCATCTCAATCGGTTAATAAATGCGACCTGCATTTTGTTCACAAAAAATACCTGCACAGACGGACTAACATGCATAAATCGACTCAGAAAGTGATTCTGTGAAGATTTTCATAAATAACTATAGGTCTATCTATCTTCCATGTTACAAACAAGTGCACAAATACATAATACCCTTACCACTATGTGGTGTAGGGTATGAAAAGAAACAAGTTAAAAAGCAGTAAGTTCGACTGGGACGAACTTTGAATACCCTTCACTATTTGGAACGAATTTTCAAAAAATAAAATCCTTACAAAATTCTGTTAAAATTTTTAAAATACCGAATATAGCCGTTATATTGAGGTCTATACGACGTGGATTGTTTGTCATAAGCCATTACCATATTCAAATTCGAAACTTGAAATAAACGGTGAATAATGTAGATAAAATCAACAAAATATCGTATATAGGGAGGTACCGTTATATCGGAGCTGTGCGAAGACCTGGAACAGCATAGACAATTTTCTGTCACAGGCTGTAGCATCCATTACGAACTTCAAATACGACATCTCAAACTATTTCGGTGGGTATTGCACCTAAAATCGTCAACATACCCAATATAAGGAGGTACTGATATACGGGGCCTATAACGAAGACCTGGACCTGCATAGACAATTTTCTGTCTTAGGCTGTAGTAACCATTTCGAACTTCAAACACCAAATTTGAAACAATTCCGGTGAATAATGTCGCTAAAATCATCAAAATACCGAATATCGGGAGGTACCGTTATATGGGGCTATATGAAAACGTGGACCTACATGGACCATTACGAACTGGCAGAATAAACATGTGTGCAAAATTTTAGCCTTCTATCTCAATTCTTTCGAAAGATAGCGTGAAGACGGGCAGACAGACGGACATGACTAAATCGTCTTAGAACTTTACGCTGATCAAGAATATATATAATTTGTTGGGTTTGACATGAATATTTCGAGGAGTTACAAACGGAATGAAAAAGTTAATATATCCTCCATAGTATGGTGGAGGGTATAAAAATACCGCTCAAACGAAAACCTTTGAGTGTAGGGACTATACAAAGACGTGGTGCTGCATAAGTAATTTTTTATCAAAGACTGTAGTAACGATTCCGAACTTTAAATAAGAGGTTTGAAACAATTCCGGTGAATAATGTTGCTAATATCATCAAAATACCGAATAATAAAAAATTACGGTGAATAATGTCGCTATAATCATGGAGTTCTCTAAGTAATATATTTTATGAAAACATATTCGGTGTAAACAAGACATTAGAACTCCCCCACACATTACATTTAGTTGTGCTAGAATTGTACACGCCACTGTTTCGTGATTTTGTTTAATTTGTTTCTCTTCCATTGTGCGATGCCCTCCCTCGTAGTCTCTTCAAACACTCCGTTGGCCATCACAGCGATAACAGCTACATACACACATACAGACATACACCATGTGTTTAATTAGGAGAATTGTGAGAAATTTTAGTTAGCTCGCGGATGTGTTAACAACAGAACAAATTTTTAATTAGTATTGTCGACAATTTCGTGCGGTAAGGTACGCTGTTCTAAACGGTTCTGCTTTTTCAAAAGAGAAATTCTTTCGACAAGCGAACATAAAAAGCGATCGAGTCGTGCGAAATTAAACTTTGCTCATTAGCAAATGTGACAAATTTTTTTTCGATATAAAACCAAAAAAAAAAAAAAAAAAAAAAAAAAAAAATTAACGCATACAATTTTAACGATCAAAACGAAATTCCTTTTGGGAAATGAATATTCGAATAATTATAGCGTGTAGTCTCGTCAAGTGAAGTGTGATGTCAAAATTTCTAAAAAAAAAAATAAAATAAGAGAAGCATGGATTTGAAATAAAATAAATAATAATAAAGCCATTTATTATTTGTTTGAAAACACACAATAATAGAAATTCTAGTTTGTTTACTTTTTGCACAAAGGCAAGTGAGTCAGAACAAAATACGATTTTGAATATTAAGTGTAAAATATCACAATAACGGATATATGTGTCGACATATAAAATATTTCACTTTTGAGGAAATGTCAGCTATCTTAAACGTGCTTCCGTTGAAAATATGTTGTATTTTCAAGTATCACATAAAATAACAAAAAAAGAATTTAATTCAAATGCTGATTAAACACTTTGTGGAAATTTATCAGAAGCAAAAAAAAAAAAAAATGGAAAATTGTAAAAAATCTTAACACCACGTAAATGTGAATCATTTTGTATTAAAACAAGTAAAAAAAAACAGCTAACTTCGGCCGGGCCGAACTTTTAATACCCTCCCCCATTTGGAAGGAACTTGAAATTTTTCAAAGAAAAAAAAAAAAAAAAAAAAAAAAACTCCCGGAAATTGCCACTTTAATTAAAACTGTTATATGGAGACTATACGTAGACGCGGATCTGCTTACGAAATTTTTGTCATAGGCGGTAGCACCCATTACGAACTTCAAATACCAAATTTGAAATAATTACGGTAAATAATGTCGCTAAAATCATGAAAATATCGAATATAGGGAGGTGCCGTTATATGGGGGCTATACGAAGACGTAGACCTGCATAGACATATTGTATGTATCTTAGGCTGTAGCACCCATTACGAACTTCAAATGCCAAATTTGCAACAATTTCGGTAAATAATGTCGTTATATGGGGTCTATATGGGGTCTATACGAAGACGTGGACCTGCACAGACAATTTTTTATCTTAGGCTGTAATATCTATTTCGAACTTCAAATACCAATTTTGAAATAATTACGGTAAATAATGTCGCAAAAATCATGAAAATACCGAATATCTGGAGGTGCCGTTATATGGAGGCTATACGAAGGCGTGGATCTGCACGGACAATTTTCTGTAATAGGCTGTAGTATTCATTACCAACATCAAATACCAAATTTGCAACAATTCCGGTGAATAATGACGCTAAAATCTTTAACACATCGAATATCGGGAGGTACAGTTATATGGGGTCTATACGAAGACGTGGACCTGCACAGACAATTTTTTGTCTTAGTCTGTAATATCTGTTTCGAACTTCAAATACCAAATTTGAAATAATTCCGGTAAATAATGTCGCTAAAAATCATGAAAATATCGAATATAGGGAGGTGCTGTTATATGGGGGCTATACGAATACGTGGACCTGCACAAACAATTTTCTGTCATATGCTGTAGCACCCATTACGAACGTCAAATACCAAATTTGCAACAATTCCGGTGAATAATGTCGCTAAAATCATGAAAACATCGAATATCGGAAAGTACCTTCATATGGGGGCTATACGAAGGCGTGGACCTGCACAAACAATTTTCTGTCATATGCTGTAGCACCCATTACGAACGTCAAATACCAAATTTGACGCTAAAATCATAAAAACACCGAATATCTGGAGGTGCCGTTATATGGAGGCTATACGAAGGCATGGATCTGCACGGACAATTTTCTGTCATAGGCTGTGGTATCTATTACGAACTTTAAATATCAAATTTGAAACGATTCTGATGAATAATGCCGCTAAAATCATCAAAACACCGAATATCGGAAAGTACCTTCATATGGGGGCTATACGAAGGCGTGGACCTGCACGGACAATTTTCCGTAATAGGCTGTAGTACCCATAACGAACTTTAAATACCAAATTTGAAATAATTACGGCAAATAATATCGCTAAAATCATGAAAATACCGAATTTCGTTCGGAAGCTAGAGTGATTTCCACAGACGGAAATCGACATAGAATTTTATGCTAATCGAGAATATATAGACTTTGTGGGGCCAAAAATGTATATTTCGAGGTGTTACAAACGGAAAGGCAAACTTAGTATACCCTCCATACTATGATGGAGGATATAAAAATATCAATCGGTTTAGCCGAAAGATGTCTACCCTCAGCCAATTTTCGATTATTTAAAAATATTTTGATTTCTGTTATGATTATTCAAATTCTTGACCCTCTATGGACCAGGCACCAAAGAAATGGGTCATGTTTCGCAAGTTATGACGGATAAAAGTGACCCTTTGTGGATGAGGTATCAGAAGGGGTTCGTAGATATACAGGGTGAGATAAAAGAACTACAAAAAGTCAAAAGCCATAATTTTTAAAATTTTTTTAATTGTTATTGAATAAGCAAAAAATGTCGGAAATAGCATAAAATTTTAGAATAAGTTTAGATTTGTTCGAATTGGCCACCTTTGCCACGAATTATGGCCTTCAAAAGCCCAATGAAACTGTCACACTCTGCCCGAATGTTGCTCTGCGGTATCTTGGCCCATTCCCGGCAAAGCGCTTTCTTGAGGCGATCGACACTTTGGTATTTTTTAGTGCCAACATTGCTTTCCAAAATACTCCAGACACAATAGTCCAACGGTTTGGTATCTGGAGATTTTGGTGGCCATTGAGCGCTGAGCGCTAAAGCGAGTAACCTCATTTTGTAACCATTCTTGGGTCGTGTGCTGAGTGCAATGGTGCTGAGCCCTCTTGGAATGTCCAATGTCTGCGGCCAAAATGTTTGCGTGCCGAAGGTTTTGATACACCCTCCAGAATATTTTCGCGAAAATATTCGGCATTTATTCTGATCGGCTGTTATGGCGGCCCACGACATGGCCGGCACTTGAGTACTGGTGGCCAACCGAAGGTGCACATTTTCGGCTGACCTCTTTGGCAAGTACACGCGATCATTTTGTTTGTTTACGAACTGCTGGACAACGAATGTTTTCTCATCGGAGAAAACCAAATTCGGCAGTTCACCTCTTTCGGCCAAGTGAAGCAACTCTTTAGCTCTTTTGAGTCTATTTTCTTTCTGTTGCGGTTCTTGCAATTTTTGGAATTTCAATGGCTTTACCTCTAGCTCATTTTTAATATTTGCCGAATAGAATATTCTGATATGTTCAACTCACGAGCCATTTTTCGGTCATTGCGACGCGGGTTTCAATCACGTCGCTTCTTTACTTTTCGAACCATTTCTGCTGATGTTGCTGTTTTCTTCCGTCCACTTCCTTGACGTTGGGCTACGCTACCAGTATCACGGCAGCGAGCGATCTTACGAGACACAAGAGATATATTCACATTTAAATGCCGGAGTGCTCTAACGATAGCCACTTGTGGTTTTCCAGCCAAATATAAAGAAATCACACTATCACGCTTGAATTCCATCACGAATAAATTTTTTTCTGGAAAATTCTCACCAAAATGCTTTTGTACGCTTGTAAAAAATATAATGAGCTGTCACTGGAATAATGTTAACAGCTGTCGGATGAGTGGCTTAGAAATGACAGCAGTTTGAAGTTGGTTGCAGTTTTTTCATCTCACCCTATATATACTTTATGGGATATTTAGAGGTTTTTAAAACTGATCTATAGGTTTAATATACCCTCATTCCATGGACGAAGAGAAAATCAATTTTTTGGAATAAAGACATTTTTCAAAAAAAAAAAAAAAAAAAAAAAAAAAAAATTAACAATTATTTCTTCTTTTCATTCTAGTTCGGATTTCATACATTTCCGTTCAAATTAATATGAACTTAGATCTAAGAATTATGAATCGTATGGTGTGAATGGATTTTAATAGAGAACGTAATTTAAATGCTAATAGGAACATTGTATTATGAGCGCTTCATTTCAATTCAATCGATTCACTGAAATGAACCAAGTGAAGTAGGTCATCTTATGTTGTTCGAAATAAGACCGCTCAGTTAATATTTGTTTACAAATGATGTAACAAATATAATGCATATTCCATCGGATCGCCATGGGTGATCGTTTGTTTCTAGATTTATTATTTTTTGGCATTTTCTTTTGCATTCTGTTGCAAATTATTATAAAACGCTTTTTTGACTGGCTTAAGTCATCGGAAAAGAACAAAAGGAGCATAGGGCCAAAATCGAACTAGGTCAACCTATAACTCCTTTATTCCTCTACGAAGAAGCCAATCGATGACTTGGGCAAATCAAACAAGCGTTTCATGTAGTTTCACCTTTACCGCTCAGTTAACATTTGTTTACAAATGATGTAACAAATATAATGCATATTCCATCGGATCGCCATGGGTGATCGTTTGTTTCTAGATTTATTATTTTTTGGCATTTTCTTTTGCATTCTGTTGCAAATTATTATAAAACGCTTTTTTGACTGGCTTAAGTCATCGGAAAAGAACAAAAGGAGCATAGGGCCAAAATCGAACTAGGTCAACCTATAACTCCTTTATTCCTCTACGAAGAAGCCAACCGATGACTTGGGCCAGTCAAAAAAGCGTTTCATATATTCTCACCTTTACTCTGTTTCCTAATTTGAAATCTCACCCGAAAAAAATTATATTTGTCATCAAATGTAACGAAAAAAAAAAAAAAAAATAGTTAATACCATGATTCCAGTTTTGAGTAGCCTGAGATGTTTGTTTTAAAAATAGTTTACCTTAGAACAGCTGTAAACAAATGCTTTCATTGTTTTGTAAAATATTTTCTAAGTTAAGAACTGTTGACGCACAGAGGTATTACTCAGAGCGACAGAGAGCAGTCAGAATGAACTTTGTAACTTAAAATGTTAAAGCTTTTAATAAGCCTGCGTCACATAATGTGGAATTAAGAAGGTCGCCTTATTTAAATCAAGTATAAACGGGTGGGATGGATTCTTGATGATTTTGAAAAAATTACATGACTTTTTTATACCCTCCACCTTGGAGAGGGGGGTATATTACATCCCTAAATATTGATCGTAGACCCCATAAAGTGTATACAGGGTAAGATGAAAAAACTGCAACCAACTTCAGACTGCTGTCATTTCTAAACCACTCGTTCGACAGCTGTTAAAGTTATTCCAGTGACAGCTCATTAAATTGTTTACAAACGTACCAAACCATTTTGGTGAGAATTTTCCAGACAAAAAAGATATTCTTGATGGATTTCAAGCGTGACAGTGTGATTTCTTTCTATTTGGCTGGGAAACCACAAGAGGCTATCGTCAGAGCACTCCAGCATTTAAATGTGAATAAATCTTTTATGTCTCGTACCATCGCTCGTTACCGTGATACTGGTAGCGTAGCCCTACGTCAAGGAAGTGGACGGAAGAAAACAGCAACATCAGCAGAAATGGTTCGAAAAGTAAAGAAGCGACTTGATCGAAACCCGCGTCACAGTGTGCCCGAAAAATGGCTCGTGAGCTGAACATATCGCAATATTCCTTTCGGCATATGTTGAAAAATGCGCTCGGGGTAAAGCTATTGAAATTCCAAAAAGTGCAAGAACTTACACCGCAACAGAAAGAAAATAGACTCAAAAGAGGTAGAGAGTTGGTTCGATTGGCCGAAAGTGGTGAACTGCCGAAAGTGGTTAACTGCCGAATTTGCGTTTCTCCGATGAGAAAACATTCGTTGTCCAGCAGTTTGTAAACAAACAAATGATCGTGTTTACTTGCCAAAGAGGTCAGCTGAAAATGTGTACCTTCGGTTGGCCACGAGAACTCAAGCGCCGGCCATGGTGATGGTGTGGGCCGCCATTACAGCCGATGGTCCCTTTCCGCTCGTATTAATCGACCGTGGCATCAGAATAAATGCCGAATATTATCTCGAAAATATTCTGGAGGGTGTATTGGATGTCTTGGGCACGCAAACATTTTGGCCGTAGACCTTGGACATTCCAACAGGATTTAGCAACATCGCACTCAGCATGCCCCACCCAAGAATGGTGAAAAAATGATTTTCCTCGCTTCATTTCCAGCGCACAGTGGCTACCAAAAACTCCGGATACCAATCCCTTGGACTATTGTGTCTGGAGTATTTTGAAAAGCAAGGTTGGCACTAAAAAATACAAAGTGTCGATCACCTCAACCAAGCGCTTCGCCGGGGAATGGGCCAAAATACCGCAGAGCAACATTCGGACAGCGTGTGACGGTTTCATTGGCCGTTTGAAGGCCATAATTCGTGCCAAAAGTGACCAATTCGAACAAATCTAAACTTATTCTAAATTTGATGCTGTTTCCGACATTTTTTGCTTCCATTCAATAAAAATAAAAAACAAATTTAAAAATTATGGCGTTTGACTTTGTTGCTTGTTTTTATCACCCTGTTCATATATATTTTTTAAAAAACGTAAACAATCACATGAATCTACCTTCATTATTCTACCATGGCCTTTTCATTTATTATTTCATATTAAAATATATTTTTTTCCTTTTCTTACAGCCCACACACTTCTAGACCCTGCCAAGACACCCCTCCCATTTGATTCCCGGCTAACACCATGTCTGACATTGACAGCCCTCGGCCATTTCGTCGTGAACGAAATCTAAGCAATCGTAACTTTAATAAACGCGGTTCAAATCGCCGACGTCAGAGTACCGAAAGTCACAGTTCCATTGAACCGCGCTTGCTACATGAAATCAGTATAGAAGACAATACCTCCGAAAACTCCTCACAACCTGCAACACCCTCAACCGCCACCACCACCTCCACCAGTTCCAGTTCTCTCAACATGGTATACTCTGTCAATTCAGATGCAACAGAAAGCTCTGCCAACCACAAACCCAGCAAACCAATGAGAAAACTTCGTTCGTATGAGTTCACCACAAGTCTAGAGGCAACAAATACATCCCCTTTGGAGGGTGATTCCCCCGAAATGCCAACGCCTGAAAATCAGCATCACTCTTCGGCTGCGACAACGCCAGTAACACCCGATCCGGCCTGGTTGGGCGTTCAACAGAAACGTATTCTCTTCGAAAAATTCCATGCCAGCGATAACTTGAAAACATCCAAATTTAATTCCAAATCGACACAATCATTGCTCAGCAGCGAACGGGCCCAGCCGGTGTGGCATAAGGTGTCAGCGCCCACATTAAATTCTTCCTCCACATCCTCAAATTCCGGTTCATATTACGTGGCACCGCCGGGTCGGGTTCTGGTCATGAACTTGGATAGTCAAAACATCAAACATCATTCCTCGTTTCATCATAGTATCGATGAGGAACACACCGAAGATGAAGTCGATGCCATCGAGGATGAGGTAGCGGAAGAATGTCCGGCCGGTGATGGGTCGGAAAATCGCAAATCTCTGCAAGAGAATTCACCACCAATAGCAGAAGCCACAAATAAAACATTTTTGGCACCATTCTTAACGCATTCGAACAGTCATGAGCCAAGCGGAAGTAAGGTGGAGGAGGAGGAGGCCTCCGTGCAGAAGAATAACACAAATAAGAGTGATGAAGTGCTGGTTAAAGAAAAAACCAAAGATTTTCCCAGGTAAGAAAGGAATGAATTATAATTTTGTGAAAAAATAGCTAAATGTGGGGGTCAAGTGACCTACAAAAACAAAGAAATACAGTAAGAAAATGTCAAAAACTGGACGGGGTCGTATTTTTAATTTTATTGAATGAAAGCAAAAATTGTCAGAAGTAGCATCAAATTTTAAAATAAGTTAAGATTTGTTCGAATTGGTCACCTTTGGCACGAATTATGGCCTTCAAACGGCCAATAAACCCGTCAGACGCTGTCCGAATGTTGCTCTGCGGTATTTTGGCCCATTACCGGCGAAGCGTTTGCTTGAGGTGATCGACACTTTGGTATATTTTAGTGTCAACCTTGCTTTCCAAAATACTCCAGACACAATAGTCCAACGGATTGGTATCGGGAGATTTTAGTGGTAATTCCATTCTTGGGTGGCGCGTGCTGGGTGCGATGGTGCTGAGTCCTGTTGGAATGTCCAAGGTTTGCGGCCAAAATGTTTGCGTGCCCAAGGCTTAAATACACCCTCCAGAATATTTTCGCAATAATATTCGGCATTTATTCTGATGCCACGGTTGATTAATGCTAGCGGAGAGCGATCATCGGCTGTTATGGCGGCCCACACCATCACCATGGCCGGCATTTGAGTTGTGGTGGCCAACCGAAGGTTCCCATTTTCAGCTGACCTCTTTGGCAAGTAAACACGATCATTTTGTTTATTTACAAACTGCTGGCCAATGAATGTTTTCTCATCGGAGAAAACCACCAAATTCGGCAGATCACCACTTTCGGCAAAGCGAAGCCCATTTCTTTCCGGTGCGGTGTAAGTTCTTGCACTTTTTGGAATCTCAATGGCTTTACCTCGAACTCATTTTTCAATATTTGCCGAATGGAATATTACGATATGTTCAGCTCTCGAGCCATTTTTCGGGCACACTGCGACGCGGGTTTCGATCAAGTCGCTTCTTTACTTTTCGAACCATTTCTGCTGATGTTGCTGTTTTCTTCCGTCCTCTTCCTTGACATCGGGCTACGCTACTAGTATCGCGGTAACGAGCGATAGTATGAGACACAAAATATTTATTCACATTTAAATGCTGGAGTGCTCTAACGATAGCCACTTGTGGTTTTCCAGCCAAATATAAAGAAATCACACTATCACGCATGAATTCCATCATGAATAACTTTTTTTCTGGAAAATTCTCACCAAAATACTTTTGTACGCTTGTAAACAATATAATGAGCTTCCACAGGAAAAATTTTAACAGCTGTCGGACGAGTGGCTTAGAAATGACAGCAGTTGGAAGTTGGTTGCAGTTTTTTCCTCTTAGGATTATAGGATTTATGAATATATCTTTTGACAATTACATTTTGTCAAAGGTATAGTTTTGAAAAAATTGTAAACATATGATTACATAACTTTACCTTCTTAGGTCTACCATGGTCTTTATATTTTTATACAAATTATGAAAACAAAAAAACCTTAAAAATCTGGAACACTTTTCTCTGCAATTTTCCCCTCACATGAACCTATATTTTACAAAAGCGTTCCATCAGTCATTCTATAAAAAATGTCGCGTTTTATTTGCGCTATTTTGCCGGGGGTTTTAGTTATTAATTTTATTGATTAATCGTTAAAATTGCTATTATCTTAGATAAAGAAGGGTAAACCCCCATTTCGGAATATCTACAAAAAAAACTATAGATAAGAGTTACGATTTATTATTGAATGAATTGTTGTTGTTCTTGCTTCTCGGCAAATAGAAAATTACTTCCCCATTTCTATTCTATTAATATTATTATTATTTTATATTGGTTTTGTATGAATCACGATTTTCAACGCATTTGTGGCTGTGATAAGAATGAAAGTGGAGAGTTTTGTAAATGTATATTATATGGAATAAGTGGTTGAAATAAGTGGTTAGACATCGTGGAATCATGAAAACCCCCTAAATTTGACAATTAAAAATTTTATAATTTTTTTAACCTTTAACTTCTGAGGTGGTGGTAAATTTTACCCTCCCTTCACATTTTCTTTAAATTCTCTATTCTATTACAATGAATAAAAATTTAGTTTACATAAAAAAATGTTTTTTTTTTTACTTATTGTAATTTAAAATATACAAGCTTACTTTTAAAAAACAAATTATTATCAAATAAAATTTTTAATAAAGTTTTTTTCTGTAATATTTAGAGGGGTAAAATTTACCACCACGTTATAAAATATGTCACCTCAGAAGTTAAAGGTTAAGACTTATAGTACTTTCACATATAAACTTAAACTTCAAATAAATTCTCTTAAAGTATAAGTCTCTTTACTTCAAGATTTATTCAGAACAATCCTTTACAAAAGTACGAAAATATTGGAAAAAGTAAAAAAGCCAACATTATTAAAATCTGGCCACTCTACTACAGCAATCTATGAAACAGCTGACTGAGGCAATAACAAAACAAACATCTAGAAAAGTTCTCAGCTCTTAGCTCTTTTAATTTCTCTCACAATTCGTTCTCTTTTACCAGACGTTTTGTAAAGACAATCTCCCATAAAATTTTGCAACAATTGTTGCGAAATATTAAGTCAAACGACTCACATGAAACCAAGTTCACATGGCACGTGATTCTTTCATTTTATTCGCTTTTCGAACATAACAATTTTCACAGAATATTCCGAGCGAAAGATGTTATTACATTTTTCACTTTGCAACATTCTCTGAACAACCAAAAATTATATTCCAGCCATGGTACAAGAATACAGGTAGTCACATCGACACAGCTGCTGGGACAATGAACTGTCAAAACAATTTTAAAATTGAAATTTTTAAATGAAAATTTATTAAAATTTTTAAAAATTGTTGAAAAATGCATATCATAACAACCTCTGGTTGATGTCGTATTTGAAAACGTATAAAAGTCAACTTATTTTTGAAAATACATTTCAAAATTTTTGACATATCAATGTTTCCAAGCGTTGATGCATCTACCTATATTCTTCTACCATGATTCCAGACTTAATTTTTAATGGACCTTATCGAAATTAATTAAAAAATTGCGATTTATAAAATGTAATTGTTTTTTTTTTTTAAATCCTTCATATCAGTGCATATTTCATGCACTGGAATATATGAATTTTGTCGTATGAATACATTTTCAGAGTGAATGCAGTTCAAATGCCAATAGGAACATGGTATTACGAGCAATCTAGGAAATAGCTCATTGAAACATGCTTCTATCGGCCATTTCGTAAAAGCAACATTCAGAACGTGGTTCAAATGCCAATGGGAACATGGTATTACTAGGAAACTAGGAAACAGCTGATTGAGACAATAAGAAAACGAACATTTAGTAAATTCTTCTAGCGGACCATGGTAGAAGAATACGGGTAGTTTCATTGACACAGCTGCTGGGACAATGAACTGTCAAACCGATTTTAAAATTGAAAATGTCGAATGAAAAATTATTAAAAACAACCTCCGATTTGCCTCGTATAAAAAAAAAACATTTTTAAATCTACTTATTTTTGATAAAACATTTTAAAAATTTTGACATATCAATGTTCCCAAGCGTTTATGCATCTACCTATAATCTTCTACCATGATTAATTTTTAAGGGTCCTTATCGAAATTAATTAAAACATTGCGATTTATAAAATATAATTTTGTTTTTAAATCCTTCATATCAGTGTTGGAATATATGAATTGTGTCGTATGAATACATTTTCAGAGTGAATGCAGTTCAAATACCAATGGGAACATGGTATTACGAGCAATCTAGGAAACAGCTGATTGAAACAATAGCAAAAACGGTCATTTCGTAAAAGCAACATCAAGAACGTAATTTAAATACCAATGGGAACATGGTATTACGAGAAAACTAGGAAACAGCTGATTGAGACAATAAGTAAACAAACATTTAGTAAATTCTTCTAACGGACGTTTTGTGAAAACAACAACAACCAACAAATGTTACAACAATTCTTGCACAAAGTTGTGTAAAAACATTAAAATCTTCGCAGATCATTCTGCACGAATCTTTATTAAAAAAAAAAAACTAAGAATTAAGGTGAGCAAACATAAAATGTTTTTTTTTTTTTGATTGGCTTTAGTCAGCGGCTGGCTTCTCCGTAAACAAACAAAGACTTGTAGGGCGAACAGTTATACTTGTACTATGGGCCAAAATCGAACTAAGTCAACCTACGACTCCTTTGTTCTTTTACGAAGAAGCCAGCCGATGACCAAAGTCAGTCCAAACAAGTAAAAAAACATTAAGTTCCGCCGGGCCGAATTTTTAATACCCTCCACCTTAGGGTAAAGAAAACACTTGAACCAATTATGACCCACAAATACCAATTTTTAGACATTCGTCGGGAGGTACCGCTATATAAGGCTATACAAAAACGTGGACCGTCGCCGCACAAACTAGGACCCATTATGACCAAAAAATACCAATTTCAGACAAATCCTTGAAAAAATGTGGTAAAAATCATCAAAATACCGAATATCGGGTGGTACCGTTATATGGGACTATGCCAAAACGTGGACCGATATATCTCATTTTCAATAACGAAATAACGGTTTTGGATCATAGGTCTCTTTGGACAAAATCTGTTTCAGGACATTTAGAGTCGATCTAGCGATGTCCGTCCGTCTGCCGGCTGGTACGCATGATGACTCTCGAAGGGAGCATCCGATTTGGTCCAAACATGGTACATCGCAATATTATTATCATACATAGGTCGAGTTCGGAGATGAACAATATCGGTCCACTAATTCAGGTACCTAAAAATTTTCAAAGAAAATATTTTACTGCACAGAGAGAGAAGAGATTATCCGATTTTGCTCCAATTTTGCAAATCTTAATATTTGAATCAGTTGTAGGTCAGGTGCGAAAATGGACAATATCCCCCACAAAAGGTCTAAATTTTGAATAATTGTAACTTTTATAAAATGGAATATACAGGTCCACTCCTTCTGGTACCTCCCCCACAAAGGTTACATTTTTTGAATATCTGTGAAGCTCATAAGATTAACATCCGATTCCATTCAGACTTTCTACATCTCAATATTTCCACCAACCCAACATCTGTTATAAAGATGGTAGAGATCGGACCATTTCTTCTGGTACTTCCCCCACAGAGGGTCAACGCTTCGAATAACCAAAACGATTATTAAATCCGAAATAAGCATCCAGTTTTCTTTATATTTCACACATCCCATTATTTCTACTAACCCAAGATCTGTTGTGAAGATGGGATATATCGGTCCACTTCTTCTGGTACCTCCCTTAAAAAAGGGTGAAAATGTTGAATATCCATGCAGTTCATAAAGCGCGAAATTAACATCCGATTCCACTCAGACTTGGCAAATGTCAATATATCTATCAAGACAAGATCTGTTATGAAGATGGTAGAGATCGGACAATTTTATCTGGTACTTCCGCCACATTTTTTCCCTTTTAACATTACTTCTTTGATACTAATCACTTTCAGAGTCCGGGGTTTGATCTAAATTAGTTGGTAGCATAAGAATGCTGCAAAAATTTAAGGACTTCTTCAGATAGCGACTCACTATATCCATGATTGAGAGATATACTACGAGACAAATTCGATATTGTCGGATCAGAAGAAAATAGCAACCTGTTGAAAAGATCCCACATTGCTTCTTCACGACTCATTTGACTATAGTCCTAATTTCTGGAAACCATGGCGTCCTCAGACAAGATTCCTATGAGCAATGCTATGCTATGCTATGAGCAGAACCATGAACTAATATTTTTTATATGTTTGGAGGTATGTAGAACCAAGGATATAAATCCAGGAAAATAGTATTTTCTCAGTAAATTGTTTAAATTAGTCGGCGTTAATAGAATATTCACATGCCATGGTCGAAAGGCTGGTATAAAAACTTGTAATTAATTTTTCATCAATGCCAATTTTATTTCTTAGTTCTCTAAAAATTTGCAGGACGATTTATTGATCCGGACCCACTTGTAGTTAATTTGAAAATGTATTTTCAAATAAGTTACTTATATAAACCTCTTTATTTTGTGTATTATTTTTTTCTTTTGATTAACTTCTTGTGTATCATTGCAGAAACTATCGATCGCGACCTCTAACAGAAATTGGCGGCTCACAGACGGTACGTTTGCGCGGCGAGAAATACACATCCTTAAGGCAGGTGATATGGTGAGTATTTCCATGGGATTTTATTGAATATTTAGTTAAAAAATTATTTCCAACCTTTTAGTGATCCCGAAGATGAGGAACAAATTGAAATGCGTGATAAGGGTTATGGTTGCATACAACCGATACTCGATGAGCTGATCAAAACCGAAGAAACCTATGTTGAGAACCTGTGGATGGGCATCAATAACTATGGCAATATGTTTGAACGTAAAGATTTGCCCATGGGTTTGCGTGGTAAAAAATATGTGCTATTCGGTAATGTTGAACAGCTGGCCGAATTTCATCGCGATGAATTCCTGCCAATGTTGCATCGCAATAAACATGATTTGAAGAGATTATTTGATGAGTTCCAACAGTATATAGAGGTGAGTTGACATGCAAAATGGTTAATGTAGTCATGTGTTGGACATTATTAAAGGCACTATCAGGCGGAATGTGTTTTACATTTCACTTTGTTTATGCCTGCGTAATTTGGTCTTAATATTTTACTTGCGATTCATAATTTCCGACATCATATAACACACACGTGATAGACTTGCACAAGATAATATTTTTTTAAATTTATGCATTGTCGAAAAATCAGAGATGGAAACCTGTTATACAGGGTGAGATGAAAAAACTGCAACCAACTTCAGACTGCTGTCATTTCTAAGTCACTCGTCCGACAGCTGTTAAAATTATTCCAGTAACAGCTCATTATTTTGTTTACAAGCATGCAACGGCATTTTGGTGAGAATTTTCCAGAATAAAAGTTATTCGTGATGGAATTCAAGCGTGATAGTGTGATTTCTTTATATTTGGCTGGAAAACCACAAGTGGCTATTGTTAGAGCACTCCAGCATTTAAATGTGAATAAATCGTTCCATCGCTTGTTTCCGTGATACCGGTAGCGTCGCCCGACGTCAAACAAGTGGGCGGAAGAAAACAGCAACATCAGCAGAAATGGTTCGAAAAGTAAAGAAGCGATTTGATCGAAGCCCGCGTCGCAGTGGTCGAAAAATAGATCGTGAGCTGAACATATCGAAATACATTCATCAAATATTGAAAAATGAGCTCGAGGTATGGCCATTGAAATTCCAAAAAGTGCAAGAACTTACACCGCAACAGAAAAAAAATAGACTCAAAAGAGCTAAAGAGTTGCTTCGCTTGGCCGAAAGTGGTGAGCTGCCGAATTTGGTTTTCTCCGATGAGAAAACATTCGTTGTCCAGCAGTTTGTAAACAAACAAAATGATCGTGTTTACTTGCCAAAGAGTACAGCTGAAAATGTGCACCTTCGGTTGGCCACCAGAACACAAACTCAAGCCATGGTGATTGTGTGGGCCGCCATAACAACCGATGGTCACTCTCCGATCGTATTAATCGACCGTGGCATCAGAATAAATGTCGAATATTATCGCAAAAATATTGTGGAGGGTGTATTAAAGCCTTGGTTGGGCACGCAAACATTTTGGCCGCAGACCTTGGATATTCTAACAGGACTCACCACCATCGCATTCAGCACGCGCCACCCAAGAATGGTTACAAAATGAGGTTCTTCGCTTCATTGCCAGCGAACAATTGCCACCAAAATCTCCGGATACCAATCCTTTGGACTAATGTGTCTGGAGTATTTTGGAACGCAAGGTTGACACTAAAAAATACCAAAGTGTCGATCACCTCAAGCAAGCGCTTCGCCGGAAATGGGCCAAACTACCGCAGAACAACATTCGGGCAACGTGTGACGGTATCATTGGCCGTTTGCAGGCCTTAATTCGTGCCAAAGGTGACCAATTCGAACAAAATTTAAACTTATTCTAAAACTTGATGCTATTCCGGCATTATTTGCTTTCGTTCAATAAAATTAAAAAAACAGTTTTTATCTCACCCTGAATATTCAGTTGTAGATTTAAATTTCTGAGCTGGTTATGCTTATTAGAAATGAGTTTACCTTTATAATTCTACCATGGTTTACATTGTTATAATTATATTTTATAACGAAATTTTTTCTATGTATCACACGATGCATATAACTTTCGCACATGGAAAATTTGACAGTACCTTGGTAAGACACATGGCGTCTGTTAGAGCCTTAAGTGGCACGTAAATTTTATATATTTCATAATAATTCTCAATCGAATTTTAATAAAAAACATAAATTTTTTTCTTTGAATTTCAGCAACACTGTTTTTACGGTTATGTTTTATATACCATGAACAAACAACGTTCCTTGAAACTATGTGATACTTATAAGAATTATTTTAAGGTAGGTGGTCCTTGGGATTCCTTAGCAAAATTATGCAATTAAATATTTTTAATTTTTTTTTTTTTTTGTAGCTGATCCAAACAGAATTGGATGATAAGTTGGGCATTAACAGTTTTCTAGTACAACCCATTCAGAGGATGGCTCGATATCCTCTGCTGCTGACACAATTTATAACGGTAAGTATATAAATCAGGCCTTTAAGCTGGTTTTCTATAAGAAAACCTTTAGCTGGCCTTTTATAAGAAGTCCTTTATGTGGCCATCTATAAGGAAACCTTCAGCTGGTTTTCTATAAGAATATATGTAGCTAGTCATCTGTACGAGGACTTTCAGCTTGTATTTCTATCGGAAACTTCCAGATGTTTTTCTATACGATGTAACGAAACAAGTTCCCCTTGGTTGCTGCGATAAGCTCACGGATGGCCAGGATCTGAAATAGAAATTTATACAAGTAATCGAGAGAGTGATAACATAAATTATTAAGGTGAGGGTACATAAGCAGCTTGGCTTCATGTCTAGACATATTAATTTCAAATAATAAGGGGAAACGACGGCAGAATTTGAGTGCGGCTCTAGCACTGCTTTATGATATGTCACAAAATATGCCATGCGAAGACTTCAAGCTGCTTATGTACCCACACCTTTAGGGATTTAAACAAATTTTCCATGATTTTATTTGGAATTGTTTGATTATATTAGTCTATAAATAAGAACTGCAAGCGGGTTTCAAATTTTCGCGGTGACCAGGCTAAGTACACCGTAAGGCTTCAACAAGTGCGTCTGTGAAGCCCTCGCGTGTTGCGAGACTTGGCTAAGTCCTTCCAAATATATAACCTCCAAGAAGACCTAGATAAGAACTTCTAGTTTCAATGGTTTTATTTGGAATGGTTTAATAATATTAGGTGACAGTTTTATTTCAAGTCTATAAATAAGACCTGCAAATGGGTTTCCAATTTTCGCGGTGACCTGGCTAAGTATACCGTATGGCTTCAACAGGTGCGTCGGCGATGTCATCGGCTTGTTAGGAGAGACCTGGCTAAGTACTCCCGAAAATATAACCTCCCAAAAGACCTAGATAAGTACTTCTAGTTGGGCGTCTTTCTTGCTGGATTCAATGGAGGACCGGATAAGTGATTCTGAGTGGAAGACTAGTGGCATTAATCTCATCCTTGGCCATTGGTTTAGGAACACTCGGAGGTCAAAACAAAAGCTATTAGTTATAGGACGTGTTAAGTGGGACTTGGTTATGTACTCCCGAATATATAACCTCCAAGAAAATCTAGATAAGTATTTCCAGTTGGGCGTCTTTTTTGCTGAATTCAATGGAGACTTGGATAAGTGATTCTGCCTGGAACGCTAGTGGGATTAATCATGTCCTAGGCTATTGGGTTAGAAACACTTCGGAAGTCAAAACACAATAGCTCGTGTTATGGGGCGTGTTAGGGGACACCTGGTTAAGTACTCCTGAATATATAACATCCAAGAAGACCTAGATAAATACTTCTATTTGGGCGTCTTTCTTGCTGGATTCAATGGAGGACCGGATAAGTGATCCTGCGTTGAAGGCTAGTGGCATTAATCTCATCCTAGGCCATTGGTTTAGGAACACTCGGAGGTCAAAACACAAGCTAATAGTTATGGGACGTGTTAAGTGGGACTTGGTTAAGTACTTCCGAATATATAACCTCCAAGAAAATCGAGATAAGTATTTCCAGTTGGGCGTCTTTTTTGCTGGATTCAATGGAGATTTGGATAAGTGATTTTTGAAGACTAGTGGAATTAATCTCGTTACAGGTCATTGGGTTAGGAAAACCTCGGAGGTCAAAACTCGAGGTATTAGTTGTGGGGCGTGTTAGGGGAGACCTGGTTAAGTACTCCCGAATATATAACCTCTAGGAAAATCTAGATAAGTACTTCCAGTTGGGCGTCTTATTTGCTGGAGACTTGGATAAGTGATTCTGCGTGGAAGGCTAGTGGGATTAATCTCGACCCAGGTCATGGGTTAGGAACACCTCGGAGGTCAAAACACGAGGTATTAGTTATAGGACGTGTTAAGTGGGACTTGGTTAAGTACTCCCGAATATATAACCTCTAAGAAGATCTAGATAAGTACTTCCAGTTGGGCGTCTTATTTGCTGGAGACTTGGATAAGTGATTCTGCGTGGAAGGCTAGTGGGATTAATCTCGTCCCAGGTCATTGGGTTAGGAACACCTGGGAGGTCAACACACGAGCTATTAGTCATGGAGCGTGTTAGGGGAGACCTGGTTAAGTACTCCCGAATATATAACCTCCAAGAAAATCAAGATAAGTACTTCCAGTTGGTTGTCTTCTTTGCTGGATTCAAAGGAGACTTGCATAAGTGATTCTGCGTGGAAGGCTAGTGGGATTAATCTCGTCCCAGGTCATGAGTTAGGAACACCTCGGAGGTCAAAACACGAGCTATTAGTCATGGAGCGTGTTAGGGGAGACCTGGTTAAGTACTCCCGAATGTATAACCTCCAAGAAAATCTAGATAAGTATTTCCAGTTGGGCGTCTTTTTTACTGGATTCAATAGAGACTTGTATAAGTGATTTTGCGTGGAAGACTAGTGGGATTAATCTCGTCATAGGCCATTGGGTTAGGAACACCTCGGATGTCAAAACACGAGGTATTAGTTGTGGCGCGTGTTAGGGGAGACCAGGTTAAGTTCTCCCGAATATATAACCTCGAAGAAAATCTAGATAAGTACTTCCAGTTGGGCATCTTATTTGCTGGAGACTTGGATAAGTGATTCTGCGTGGAAGGCTAGTGGGATTAATCTCGCCCCAGATCATGGGTTAGGAACACCTCGGAGGTCAAAACACGAGCTATGGAGCGTGTCATGGAGCGTGTTAGGGGAGACCTGGTTAAGTACTCCCGAATATATAACCTCCAAGAAAATCTAGATAAGTATTTCCAGTTTGGCGTCTTTTTTGCTGAATTCAATGGAGACTTGGATAAGTGATTTTGTGTGGAAGATTAGTGGGATTACAGGTCATTGGGTTAGGAACACCTGGGAGGTCAAAACACGAGCTATTAGTCATGGAGCGTGTTAGGGGAGACCTGGTTAAGCACTCCCGAATATATAACCTCCAAGAAAATCTAGATAAGTATTTCCAGTTGGGCGTCTTTTTTGCTGGATTCAATGGCGATTTGGATAAGTGATTTTGCGTGGAAGACTAGTGGAATTAATCTCGTTACAGGTCATTGGGTTAGGAACACCTCGGAGGTTAAAACTCGAAGTATAAGTTATGGGAACCCAAGGGTTGCATAGAGTTAAGCGCGAGATCTTCTAAAGTTCTAAGAAGGCTATAGCACCACTCTGACGCACCTCAATATTCTGGACTTGATACAAGTGAGTGGGTTTGGGTTTCGCGCACTTGACACTTGTTACCTTCATAGAAAATAATCTGAAAGACTTCTAATAAAAGTGCAGCTTGAAGTGGAAGCAGATAATGAGCTTTTTTGACTGGCATAAAAAGAACAAAGGATCCTAGGGCCAAAATCGAACTAAGTCAACCTAAAACTCCTTTGTTCCTCTACGAAGAAGCCAGCCGATGACTTGAGTCAGTCAAAAAGCTTTTTATGTATTTTCACCTTAAGAATTATTTCAAAGAATAGGCTTTTCTCCAAACATAAGACCAACTTCATTTGATACTATTGGTTAGAACTTGTTCCGCAAATAAATTTATTTCCACAGAATTGTATTTCATAATGCTTTCGGGCAGTTGCACTCTTATAAGAGCACTTTTAAGGTGAGAATACATAGCAGTCACTTGCTTAAGTCATGGGCTGGCTTCTTCGTAGAGAAACCAATAAGTTGTAGGTTGACTTAGTTCGATTTTGGCCCTAGGATCATTTGTTATTTTTATGCCAGTCAAAAAAGCTCTTTATCTGCTTCCACTTTAAGCTGCCCTTTTATTAGAAGTCTTTCAGATGATTTTCTATAAAAAAAACTTTCAGCTGATTTTTTAACTTCAGGCCGTTCTTTGGTCCCTTATTTGTTTTCTGATAATGTCATGTCGCTAACTTTTTTCTAATCTCATCTCATTTTTTTTTTTATTTTAGACCCTGTTTAAAAATCGTGACTATATTATGAAGCCAGTTATTGAATCCTGTTGCCGTTTGGAGAAAAGATTAAGAACTCTGCTAACTACCACAAATGAATCGGAGGTCATTAACGATATTGTCTGTTTAAGTGAGACGCATGAGGTAAGATTTGAAACATTTTGTTTCTTCAATATTCCTAAATAATATTTTTTTTTCTTTTTGCCAGTTCAACACCTTCTATCAGGGTAAATTCCGTAAAGTTAGTGAATTCAATATTGCCGATCACACACTGAAACGCACCTATCGTGGCAAGGTGTTCATTTTCGACAAATGTATTATCTATACCGAAATCAAGGGTAAACAATTGATATTCCATGGCCGTTATCCGTGTGAACACATAGGCATTACGGCAAAGACCAAACAATTTACCCTCTACTATGAACATCGTAAGAAACAGGAATGTGATTTTATGGCTGATGCTGCCCTCGTTGAACAGTGGTTGGATTTGATACGTGAAATGGTTAGCTCCTATGCGGAGGAGGAACGTAAGAAATTCAAGGAGATGCGTGCTCTGGAACACGGTGAAGATCATATGCATCCCAAACCGGCAAATTTATCGCTGTTTCGTGATTCGAATCGTTTTAGTACGGACAGTGGTATTGGTAATATGTGGATATTACCAAAACCGGAAACTGATGAGAGTTCGTCAAGTCGTGCCACATGGTATGCAACGACGTAAGGGGGAAGTTTTTTTGTTCCCCAAAATATTTGAGAAGATTTCTGCCGCAAATAGCTTTGGTGGGAAGGAAATTAATTGTATTTAATGTTCTGTTATTCCTGCAGAAACAAAACGCCGCTCAATCAAAGACATTGCTGAGTACTAAATGACGGATTAGTATTTTGTTTTTTTTTTTTTATTATGTGAATAATTTTAATAGCCATTGATTGTTATTGTTATTTTATATTCATTTTTTTTGAGTATTCTAGTTTTTAAGCTCTAGTTAGCCATGTTTGTCTATGTAGTAATTTTTTTTGTTATTTAACTTATGTACGAACGTCACAAATGAAGTTGGGAATCAACCAAATGCCAAATATTCCATTTTTTTAAAGAATAATTAAAACAACGATGTAATATTTAATGAAATATAATAAAGAAAATACATCTGTGATGGATGTAGAATCAGATAATTACAGAAACAAAAATGCGATATTTTTTAAAACTTCATGGGAAAGTTAAAAAATACCTGTAGGCCTTGTAGGGTAATATAATTTTGGGAGAAGTTCAACTTCAAGAAACAAACTGACAAATGCTCTGAAAATCAACACTTTCTCTTTTCGACACTAAAAATGAATTAATCAAAAGTCGACTTACGTATCCCTACAACAAACACTCACTTCTTTGGAGCACAGGCATTACCATCAAGTTCATCTGACTGAAAGATACCCAGAAATCAAAGCTTGGTAAACGGGGTGGATAGAGAATTAGGTCTTCTATAGAGCGAACAGCTAACAGCCACTCAAGAAGAAGGAAAATCTAAAGTAGAGAATACATAAAACACTTTCTTGACTGGCTTTATTCATCTGATGGCTTTTTCGTAGAGAAAAAGGAGTTTTAGGTTGACTTGGTTCGATTTTAGTCCTACGCTCCTTTGTTCTTTTCCAAAGAAGCCAGGCGATGACTTAAGCCAGTCAAAAAAACGTTTTATGTATTCTCACCTTAGGAATACCTTGGTGTCTACCAACAAAGACCTTCATGATGTAGAGAAGGAGTGAGAGAGGTACAGAGATAAAAGAGAGAGCCTCTAGATCAACAGGCATATCAAGCAGGGCTGAATAGCATTCACTCTGACGCGGTCACAGCAGTTATAGCAGAACACAAATTGAATACTATAGTCGGAAATTATCCCCCTCCCATTGCACTTTAAGAACGAGCGTTGCCGCGACAAACCAGAGTAGTTTTAGCACAACTGAGATCTAGATGGTGCAGCAGCCTCAATTCTCAATTGGGCTCCAATTGATGGTGATGGTTGATCAAAAATTGGTAGAAAATCCAACACAATACTAGATTCCAAAATATGATACCTACCTAGTTAAAAACGATGGTGGCAGTATGATGGGGGATTTAGTTTTTACAGAAACCACTATGAACCGATATTTATATAAGAGCATTCCAGAGGAACATTTAAAGCCACCTGCCAAACGTACTCACCTAACTCCTTTGTCGCTGTGGACCCAATCAATACAGGCCACTTTCTTTTTGAACTTGGAGTTAGAAGCAGAGCTAGATTAGGGAAAATATCAGAACGAACATAGCAGCTTATGTTCGGAACTCTCAGAAATCGCTTACAAAGACCGAGGGTTCTGTAAGGAATCCCGTACTGATTAAAAAATTGCCTGGAGATAGCTAAAAAACTATTTTCTCTCACTGATCTATAAACCGGCGACGGAGAAGATCGCGATCTTTTGAAGATCACAACAGCGCGAGACCTAAAAGAGGAAGACTATGCCATCAGCAGAATGCAAGTACCTTACAAAGTTATAGCAGAATACAGAGTGAATACCATACTCGGAGATCATCATCCTCCCATTGCAGTTAAACAACTGAGATCTGAATGATGCAGCAGCCTGAATTCGTATTCGGCTGGAATTGACAGCAGTGCGTCGAACTGGCACCTCTTCAAATGCCCTGGCTAACCCACTTATCTAACTCCCGTGACCCTATGGACCCAAGCAATACATGTCGTTTCCTTTTTGTACTTGGAGTTAGAAGCAGAGCCGGATTAGAGATGATATTAGAACGAACACAGCAGATCATCTTCGGAAGGTCCAGGAATCGGTCACGAAGCCTGCGAAAGAAGCAGCGACAAACAAGAGTACTTGGATTCTTCTCTAATCTGGCCCAAACGAGAACTTAGGCTGCTGCACCATCCACATATCGGTTGCACCAAATATGTGGATGGTACAGCAGCCTAAATTCTCATTTCGGTTCGAATTGACAGCAGTGCGCAGAACACCTGCCCAGCCACATAATGCATTGCAAGTCTGTCAAATGCCCAGCGAAACGTACTCACCTAACTCCTGTGTCGCTGTGGACCAATCTTCAGCTTAGCATCATTTTTGAACTTGGAGTAAAAAGCAGAACCAGATTAGAGAAGAATCCAAGTACTCTTGTTTGTCGCTGCTTCTTTGGCAGGCTTCGTGACCGATTCCTGGGCCTTCCGAAGATGATCTGCTGTGTTCCAGCCACATAATGCATTGCAAATCTGTCAAATGCCCAGCAAAACGTACTCACCTAACTCCTGTTAAAAATTATTCCAGTGGCAGCTCTTTATATTGTTTACAAGCGTACAAAAGCACTTGTGAGAACTTTCCAGAAAAAAATTATTCGTGATGGGATTCAAGCGTGATAGTGTGATTTCTTTATATTTAGGTGGAAAACCACAAGTGGCTATCGTTAGAGTACTCCAGCATTTAAATCTGAATAAATCTTTTATGTCTCGTACCATTGCTCGTTACCGTGATACTGGTAGCATAGCCCTACATCAAGGAAGTGGACGGAAGAAAACAGTAATATCAGCAGAAATGGTTCGAAAAGAAAAGAAGCGACGTAATCGAAACCCGCGTCGCAGTGGCCGAAAAATGGCTCGTGAGCTGCACATATCGCAATATTCCATTCGGCAAATATTGAAAAATGAGCTCGGGATAAAGCCATTGAATTTCTAAAAAGTGCAAGAACTTTCACCGCAACAGAAAGAAAATAGACTCAAAAGTGCTAAAAGTTTCTTCGCTTGGTCGAAAGTGGTAAACTACCAAAATGATCGTGTTTACTTTCCAAAGAGGTCAGCTGAAAATGTGCACCTTCGGTTGGCTATCAGAACTCAAGCGCCGGTCATGGTGATAGTGTGGGCCGCCATAACAGCTGATGGTTGCTCTCCGCTCGTATTAATCGATGTGGCATCAGAATAAATGCCGAATGTTATTGCGAAAATATTCTGGAGGATGTATTAACGCCCTGGGCACGCAAACATTTCAGACGCAGACCTTGGACATTCCGACAGGACTCAGCATCGCACTCAGCACGCGCCACCCAAGACTGGTTACAAAATGAGGTTCCTCGCTTCATTTCCTGCGCACAATGGTCACCAAAATCTCCGGATACCAATCCGTTGAACTTTTGTGTCTGGAGTATTAAAAAATACCAAAGTGTCGATCACCTCGAGCAAGCGCTTCTCCGGGAATGGGCCAAAAATACCGCAGAACAAAATTTGGGCAGTGTGAGACGGTTTCATTGGCCTTTTGAAGGCTATAATTCGTGCCAAAGGTGATCAATTCGAACAAATCTAAATTTATTCTAAAATTTGATGCTATTTCCGACATTTTTTGCTTTCATTCAATAACATTTAAAAAAATATTAAAAATTGTGGCGTTTGACTTTGTTGCATTTTTTTTTAAATCACCCTGTAGATGTGTAAAATATGAAGAGAACCGGATCTGTATAATCAGATCTAGTGTTCATAGAACTATTGAGATGTGCCACGTCTGAATGGAATCGGATGTTAAATTCGCGTTTTACATGTTTCAAAATGTTGACCTTTTTAGGGGGAGGTACCAGAAGTATTGGACAGACATATTCCATCTTCACACCAGACCTTGTGTTAGTAAAAATATTGTGATGTGTTAATGTAAAGACAATCGGACTCGTACATCACATTTATAAGAGTTATAAAAAGTTGATCCTCTGTGGGGGAGTCACTTGATGGAGTGATGGAAATATTAGGATTTGCAATTTGGGAAAATAATCGGATTATTCTTTTTTTTTGTCAGGAGTTTTCTTTTTGAAAATTTTCGGGACCGTTTGGAACAAATTTGGCAATCTACAAAAAAAAAAAAAAAAAAAAAAAAAAAAAAAAAAAAAAACCTATTAAAATATTAAAAATACCGAATATAGCCTTTATATTAGGGTCTATACGTTGACGTGGACTTGCGTAGGCAACTTTTGCCAAAAGCCATTACAATATTCAAATTCGAAATTTAAAAAAAAATCGGTGAACAATTTAGCTAAAATCATCAAAATACCGAATATATAGAGCTAATATTATATGGCCACTACACGAAGACATGAACCTGCACAAAGAATTTTCTGTCCTAGGCTGTAGTACCCATTACGAGCTTCAAACGCCAAATTTGAAATAATTCCGGTGAATAATGTCGCTAAAAACACTAAAATACCGAATCTCGGGAGCTACCGTTATATAAGGGTTATTCGAAGAAGTTGATCTGCACAGACAATTTTCTGTCTTAGGTTGTAGTATCCGAATTACGAACTTTATACACCAAATTTGAAATAATTCCGGTGAATAAATTCGCTAAAATCATCAAAATTCCGAATATAGATGAGTACCGTCATATGGGGGCTATGCGAAGAAGTGCACCTGCACATACAATGATGGAGGATATAAAAACATGACCACATGTAGGGTACTTGCCGCTTGCCATATACAATCAACATCAAAATAGCCAATAACATTGACCAAGATAACGAAATAAATAAATTGATATGGAATATTGGCGAAAATTTAGGTGTTTCAGCGGGCGGAAAGGGCGACTAAACTCAATGGAATTCTTTTTACCTTTTGATTAGTTGCATTGAAGAATTCGATCGATAAAGAAGTTCGCGTTCAGTCGATTTTTTTTTGTGTTTGCTCCAATATTTACAGCTGTGTTGCGACGTTGGCGAACAAACGTCGCCAAAATAAAAAAAAAATCGCTGCAAAAATTTAATTTATGTACGTCCGATTGGTTTATAAATCTATATTTCGTTAACAAAAAGAAGAAGAAAATAATAATAATCTCTTGTAGTTATTAAAAGCACGATATGTGTCAATAAAAGTGATTATGAAATAATAGTATTTATATTTAACATTGAAAAAAAAAAGTTAATTGTTTTCCAAGAATATTTGTATTTGAATAACTGCCAAATTGGGACATTAATAAAATGTGTCATGTGTGGAAGAAAGGGGAAGGGGTAGATAGACCCCCCGCCCAAAGATAAGTGAGATAAACGGTTGTATATAAAAAAAATTATAAAAGTGTAGAAACCAGCTTAATTATTTATTCTTCACTTGGGTGTGCGTGGAGTTTGCCGGAACTTTGCAATATGTTTTGTGTAGTTGTCTGCCTTTTGTAAACAAATTAGTTTTTGATAAATGTATTTCAATTGAATTCGATGGAAAATGTCTTCCCTCCTGATTTTGGAAAAAAATATCAAGTTAGAAAGCATGATGACGACAGACCATTGAAGGCGATTTGTAGTCTCTAAAGGCAGATTGGAAAACCATGTCCATTGTGGCCATGAAATTATTTCTTAACCCTTACTTTCTCCTCACTTCCAACCTGGAACTACTTTACGGCCAAAAATTACTCTTTCCCATTTTCAACTCCTACGGAATCCAAGGAGACTTAAACATTCTATTTCGTAATTTTTCCTGACGGCAAGAATACAGTGCGAAGAAAACAATTTTCGAAATCTAAATATCAACACAACAGTAAAAAGACGATAAGAAGTAGATATATAACGAATAGATTATTGAAACGATTACATATTTATATTTCGTTTTTTTTTTTTTTGTTTTTTGAACAATTGACGTGCCTTTATCTATCGTTATTGTTGTAGTTATTGTACTGTCATCGTTAATTAAGGTGGTTTTTTTGTTTAATTTTCATCAATAAAATAATGTCTTGTATCGATGGGGGATGTCTATCCCAAAAATGTTAGTGTTTTTTTGCGTTTGAAATAACAATCAAAACGGTCGGGGCTGAAACGTTCGAAGTTCTTCAAATCAAGCTATATATATAGAACATGAATTTTATCCCATTATTCAGTATTAGCGTTTTTTTACCCTCAGCCATATGGTTAGAGTGGGTATATATCATTTGATAGGTCAAAACGTGACTAGTTGAAATAATGGTTCAAGACTTTAGGTCTTTTTGGACCAAATCCGTTTCAGGACATTTGGAGTCGATCTGGCGATGTCCGTCCGTCCGTCTGTGTGGCAGGCTGATGCGCACGATAACTCTCGAAGGGGGTATCCGATTTAGTCCAAACTTGGTACAACGTATTATTTTTGTCAAACTTCGATCGAGTTCGAAGATGGGCAATATCGGTCCACTCTTTCTGGTATCTCCCCCACAAAATGTCAACATTTTCATAGAAAATAATTTATCGCATAGGAGGAGAACAATAATCTGAGATTGGGTGCGAGAATGGACAAGATCAGGTCACTCCTTCTTGTACCTCCCCCACAATGGTTAACATTTTGAATAACAAAACGCTCATAAAATGCGAAATAAGCATCCGATTATTATACTCTCCACCATAGTATGGAGGATATATTATATTATATTGTAACACCTCGAAATATTCATTTTAGACCCCACAAAGTACATATATTCTTGACCAGCATAAAATTCTATGACGATTTAGCGATGTCCGTCCGTCCGTTCGTCTGTGGAAATAACTCTAGCTTCCGAACGAGTTGAAGTAGATTGATAAACTTTTACTCAAATACATAATGTCTGCAGGACTTTTGGTACTGAAACTGGGCCATGTAGATCCATTTTTTGGTATAGCTCCCATATAACGGTACCTCCCGATATTCAGTATTTTGACGATTTTATCGACATTATTTACCGCAATTGTTTCAAATTTGGTATTTGAAGTTCGTAATGAATACTAGAGCCTATGACAGAAAATTGTCTATGCAGGTCCAGGTCTTCGTATAGCCCCCATATAACGGTACCTCCCTATATTCGGTATTTTGATGGTTTTAACTACTTTATTCACCGATTTTTTTTAAGTTTCGCATTTGAATATTGTGATGGCTTATGACATAAGTTACCTATGAAGGTCCATGTCGTCGTATATAGGGTCTATGCGGTACTTTTAAGATTTTAATTTAAAAATTTTTAACGAATTCGTTCCAAAAGGTGGAGGGTATTTAAAGTTCGGCCCGAGCTTACAGCTTTTTTACTTGTTTTTTTTTTTTTTCAATTTTCACATTTGAATATTGTAATGGCTTATGACAAAAGATGCATATGCAGGTCCCCGTCGTCATATAGACGCTAATATAACGGCTACATTCGGTTTTTTAAGATTTTAACAGAACTTTTAATGGATTTTGCTTTCTTTATACCCTCCACCAAAAAAAGTATGGAGGGTATATTAAGTGCGTCATTCCGTTTGTAACTCATCGAAATAATCATTTTAGACCCAACAAAGTATATATATTCTTGATCAGCGTAAAATTCTAAGACGATTTAGCCCTGTCCGTCCGCCTGTCCGTCTGTTGTAATCATGCTACAGTCTAAACGAATTAAGATAGGAAGCTAAAATTTTGCACAGATCACTCTTTTGTCTGCAGGCAAGTCAAGTTCGAAGATGGGCTATATCGTATAGCCCCCATGTAACGGTACCCCCGATATTCGGTATTTTGATGATTTTAGCCACATTTTTCAATGGAATTGTCTGAAAATCCACACAAGTAGTTCCTTGTGGGTACTTTATACCTCGGCAGAGAATTATCTATATAGGTCCACAATATCGTATAGCCCCCATATAACGTTACCCTACGATATTCGGTATTTTGATGATTTTAGCCACATTTTTCAATGGAATTGTCTGAAATTCCACAAAAGGAGTCTCTTGTGGACATATTACCCCCTCAAAAAGAATTGTCTATATAGGTCCACGATATCGTATATCCTCCATATAACTGTATCCCCCGATATTCGGTATTTTTATGATTTTATCCACATTTGTCATCGGAATTGTCTGAAAATCCACACAAGGAGTTCCTTGTGGGTACTTTATACCTCGGCAGAGAATTATCTATGTAGGTCCACGATATCGTATAGCCCTCATATAACGGTACCCCCGATATTCGGTATTTTGATGTTTTTAGCCATATTTTTCAACGGAATGGTCACAAGGGGTTCTTTGTGAGCATTTTCCCCTCGACAGAGAATTCTCTATATAGGTTAACCATAACGTATAGCTCCCATATAACGATACCCCGCGATATTCGGTATTTTGATGATTTTATCCACTTTTACCAATCGTATTTTCTGAAAATCCACACACGGAGTTCTTTGTGAGCACTTTACCCCTGAAACGGAATTGTCTATATAGGTCCACAATATCGTATATCCCCCATATAACGGTACTCCCCTATATTCGGTATTTTGATGATTTTAGCCACTTTTTCCAATGGAATTATCCGAAATCCACACAAGGAGTTCCTTGTGAGTACTTTACACGCAGACATAGATTTGTCTTTATAGGTCCACAATATCGTATATTCCCCCATATATCGGCACCTTCCTATATTAGATATTTTAAAGATTTTAAAAGAATTTTTAATGGATTTTATTTTTTTTGAAAATTTTCTAATTCGTTCCAAATGGTGGAGGGTATTCAAAGTTCGGCCCGGCCGAACTTACTGCTTTTTTACTTGTTAATTGCTAAATTCGTTCCAAATGGTGGAGGGTATGCAAAGTTCGAACCGGCCGAACATTCAGCTTTCTCACCTGTTTTTTTTTTTTTTTTTTTTTTTCTAAAATATCTCAAACATGGAATTGAGGTCCGGCGACTGGCGAGATAAATTAAGTTGTCTTGGAGCATAATAAAGAACCCAGTTTCGGACTACGTGAGTTGTATGTTTCGGATCATTGTCTTGCTGGAAGATCCATTGAGTTCCGAGACGCAAATTATCGAAAGATGGATTAAATATTTTATAGTATTCTCGTATATAAATATCGGTCTATAGTGTTTTCTATAAAACCCATTACACTACCACCACCGTGTTTAACTGTAGGTATCATACTTTTGGGATCTAGTGCTGTGTTGGATTTTCTCCAAACTTTTCATTGACCATCACTTCCGAAAATGTTGAAGTTATTTTCGTCGGTAAATAGAATGCGAATCCAATAATCAATTTCTTTGACTATATGTAATTCGGCAAACTCGAGGCGAAGTTTTTGGGGTTTTTCCGAAGTTAGCGGTTTCTTACGTGCTATTCTTCTTCTAAATCCATTTTTATGTAGCACATTTCTTAAAGTTCTCGGATGTACTATCTTTCTGAACATTTCTCCACATGTTTCGCAATTTTGGTAGGCTTTATTTTTGGATCTTTCTTGAGAATACTGCTAACATTTTGTTTGGCCTACCGCTTTAATTATAACTTTTTATTACAGTTTGCACCGTTGAACGGCTTAAATAACAAGTTTTGGGGATTTTTGCGTATGATTTATTTTTTTGCGTAGCTTTATTATCCGAGAAAATCCGATTTTTTGATCTTAGTTGGTGGCATTGAATCCTGAAAATCATTTTCAAAATCCGAGTTTTAATATAAATTAGTTGGTGGCATTGAATCCTGCAATAATTTTTGAACTACTTTAGTAAGCGACTCACTATATCGATGGGTGACACATGTACTACGAGAGAAACTCGATGTTTTCGGTGCAAGATTACCTTTCCAATTCTAACATGAATATTGACAAACATTCATATCAAAATTGTGTTCCCATAAAAATATGAGGAGCCTACGTTTTTCTCCATAATATCTTAAATGATTTTTTTTTCATTTTCAGAACCCGAGACACCAATAGCTTGCGCTCGCGATGGACGACATTAACAGTCGTAAAAATTTCCAACGCAATCGTACCTTTGCCAAATATGAACAACGTCGTTGGAGTGTCTTAAACGATAATCATTCAAAATCGGAATTTTATATCAACAACATTGGCTCCAAGGAAACACGAGATGTGTCCTCCTCCACAATGGATATATCCAAAGATCCATTTATGGAAGAGAAATCAGAAATGCCATTAAAACCTCTATCTATGGACGACAAAAATCTATCAACCAGCTCTCCCATGCTTGATCAAACTTCTCAAGGGGGTTGTGTGACACCTAAAACACCGGAACCCTCTCTCTTGGGTGTTAAGGAAAAACTTATTCTCTTTGAAAAGAAATTAAAATCGGATGTTTGGATAAGTTTTACGGCAGCCAGAGGCAAAGGAATTGAAAGGGGAACAAATCTGCGAAAATTTATTTCAAAATGGGAAATTGGTCCAACGAAGTCATCTGAGAAATCAACTTCGACATTTTATCTTAATTCGGAGGAGGGGAGAGAGCCGGAGAATGGGGTGAAGATTGGCAGGCACAATTGGAATTCAACGCTATGTTTGAATACGTATCAAGGAAAATCGAAGAAAAATGTTAATGTTTTCGAAAATCAAGGTTCTTCTTATGAATTGGAAAACAAAGAGACTTCTGTTGGAGAACCCAAAACTGAGGACATTGGTAATGGCAGGACTGACGCTGAAGTTGTTGACTCTTCATACACATTGGATAATACTGTGGAACTTAATACTGAAGTGGAAAACTTGACAACAAAAACCAAATCAATAGGATTTCTGAAGTAAGTTGACCCAGAGTAACCCTCCATTAGATTAAGGGAGGTATGAGATCTGTTTTTAATTAAAGACCTATTATTTCCATGATTTAGTAAAATGTATACCACAATGGATCAAAATTCTCAGACAAATGGAAATTTTGAAAATCGCGAGGAAATTAAGACCCGAGAAGAAAAAAAACAGGAATCTGAATCAGAGGAAAAACAACAAGAATCTGGGGCGGAAGAAACCACAATAAAACCAGATACAGCTGAGGAATCTAATGATAGTGCAGAAAAATATTTGTCCAATAAATTGAACGATACTTATCAGAGTGATTGTGTTGAACCCAATATTGGGGTCAATAGTATGAAAACGGAAGAGCAGGCCAAGTAAGTGTCCTTAATTTTATATAAGACGATAGGTTATAAATTTCTTATTATTTTTTTTTTTTCGTAGAGAAACCCAAATACCTAGTTCTCCAAATTACTACGGAAATGAAAGGGATTTCACCAGGAAGCTAATAAGAGAAATAGATTCAATTAAATATCTGGGGTGAGTTAAATTAAAAAAATAGTTTCGTGGTAAAAGATTTGTTTTAGAAAAAGTCGCTTCAAAATTCATCTACAAGTTTTGACTGTAGGGGAGAACAGAATACTAGAAAAAAAAATTTAGTTGCATTGTCCGAAGTACTGATCCCGTAGATGCTGTATCCCGAAAGATGGTGGACTATGCTTGATCAGGTTGAAGTCGAGGGAAACCCTGATGAAAGACCGAAACAGTTCTGCAAATCGATTGCCTGAAATGAGTATGGGGGAAAAATACCAATCGAACCCTCTTGTAGCTAGTTCACTCCCAAGTTTTCCACAGGATAGCTGGTGCATTAAAAAATTATGTAAAATAATATTATCTGGTAGAGCAAATGACTAGAGGCCTTAGGGTCTACAAGTATTTTCGATGCTCTTTCCAAAAATGAACACCATAAAGTTGCATCCTTGACCATTTTCCCATAGTGAGCCACAAACAATTTCTCCTTAGAGTTACTATATGAAATATAAGCCTGGCTACTGTGGGATTTCCAAGTAAGTGGTCCGGAGTATGCCATTTCGAAGCAAAGGTGAGAATACATATAACGCTTTTTTTTGGTTGACTTAAGTCATCGGCCGACTTCTTCCTAGAGGAAAAAAAGGAGTCTTGGGTTGTATCTGTTCGATTTTGGTCCTATGCTCCTTTGTTCTTTTCCGAAGAGGCCAGCCGATAACTTAAGCCAGTCAAAAAAGCGTTTTATGTATTCTCACCTTTACTGCTTCACGGAAGGTTGAAAGTTTGGGAATAACACGGAAAAGAAAATCCGTTTATAAAAGATCTAAATTAAAAATATTCCTTCGTCTATCGGACTAAAGAGCGGATCTCCAGCCGGAAATCCAATCAATCACAGAGGCTTTCAATGAGTTTGATACTAATAAAATATCAACTGCCATAGTTATTCAAAAAACACGACGTTAGGACAAAAAACTGTAAATATAGGGGTACCAGCTCATACATTTGATCCCGAATAAATAGATTCATACACTATCCAGTTCACAGGTAAGTGCCATCCTTCGGGTTAGCACAAAACAGGGCCTAAGAGCACCTCCATTTGGAGGGAAGATATCCGAAACTATATAGGAAAGACATTTGGTGGGAAGAAATCTCAAAAAATATAGGGAAGGCATATGGAATTAGTAACCTTATTATCTGTTTGTAGATAAATAATCTTTCCTTAACAGTCAGCCCATAAGTATCACTTATAGCACGCTGGTAGGCCCAAAAAAACCCTTGACTTTCCTATGAATATAGTCAATATGTCTAACAAATTCAAAGTTGCTATGTAATATAAAGCCCAAATATTTAATCGGCTCTGAATTGCGGATTTGGTTGCCCTCGAATTGCGAAATTTGGCTCATACAGGACCTAAGGATCAGCCTGTCAGCGGAGCCTCTTATATGGCCTTTTTTTGACACGGCACTATTAAAGTTTGGACGAAGCATGTCAATATATGCCTATGCACCAGCTGGAGCTCAGGGAAATACAAAAAGGAAAACAAATTTTAAAATACAGAAAATATATTAAAGTTTTTATCATACGATATTAATCATATTCTTCTTTTTCTTGTTTCAAAATTTGCAGTTCCGCCGAAATTAAAGATGGTTTTAAGAATCAAAACCAATTGCCAACAATTTCGTCGGATCCAATTGCATTGCCTTTGATTGGAAATAATTACACACATCCACCACTGTTTGAATTTTCTACTAGTAATGGCGAAGTTAGAAATTCTACCAGTCAGGAAGTTGACAATTTGTCGGATGCTGATCAATATAATAAACCATTGACCCCAACAACACCGAAGAAAGAACAAGTTATAAACCAAGAGCCAGAAAATGTGATACTGACGAATGCATCGGATCCAAAATACAAAAGGTGAATATATATTCGAACCCTCTATGTCAGAGTCGTATGTGAAATTAATTTTTTATATGTTACCTTTTTGGGGGCATTCAGGAAATGTTTAAGCTCTCTTACAATGCTTTATTGAATAAAGCTCAAGGTACAAGTTCATAAAAGCCTATTTTTACTGGCTTAAGTCATCGACTGAATTCTTGGTAAAAGAATAAAGGATTTTTAGTTTGTCTTGGTTCAATTTCTACCCATAATTTATACTTGTTAACCAAAAGCTTTTTATTCTATTACGAAGAAGCCAGGCGATGACTTTAGTAAGTCAAAAAAACCTTTTATGTTATCTTACGTTTAAACTTTACTGAGTTCACACTATACCTATATTTATAGTTATAATGATTTCATAAAAAGGTGATAAAAACTGCAGCCCCCATCGTTTTATTATTAAATATTTTAAAGCCATTTAAATCTGTTGTTCAATCTACTTAGTTTCTAATGTTAATTTTACTTATAACTATTTAATTTATGAATAAGCTACTATTTACAATATATACAGATGGATCATACACCGGTTATTGCGACACCTTATAGACAGGTTCTAACTCGAGCATCCCAAACCTTTGACGATAGGAGAGAAGCTTCTCTCTGTAGAGAATACCTTTATCATTCATCTTTAGTTATCTACTCGGTGGCCTATAATTGGGCCGATTTTGCCTTCACACGTCTGTGCCGTGCACCAGGCTTTTTCTCACTTACTTACGGATGCAGCTCTGTTTGGGGAAATTTAGAGCGCTTGCATTAAGAAATTTATTTATTTGACCAAAGTCGATGAATTCTTATACTATTAGGTATTGTCAGGTAAACGACAGGTTTCATCTCATCCCTGGTTTCGCATTACGTCTAAATAGGATCTGAGAACTAGTGTATCAGCGGAGCTTCTCTATTTGGTGGGAAGAGATCCCAAATCATATAGGGGAGGCATATGGAACAAATAATCAGCCTGTTAACGGAGTCTTGGTAATTGGTGGGAAGAGATCCCTAATCATATAGGGAAGGCATATGGAACAAGTAAACTTATTATCTGTTTGTAGATAAGAAATCTTACCTTGACAGTCAGTCCACGATGGTAGACTCAATAAATGCCCTTGACCTTACCTAACAAATTCAAAGTTGCTATGCAATGTAACACCCAAATATTTTATCTGCTCTGAAATTTGAATTTGTTGCCTCTCTAATTGCGAGATACAGGACCTAAGAATTAGCGGGGACTTTCTACTTGGTAGAAATAGATCCCAAATTAAATAGGGAAGGCATATGGAATTACCAACCTTACTATCTGTTTGTAGATAAGTAATCTTTTCTTTAAAAGCCATGTCAGTCCACCAGTAGCATTTATAGCACGATGGTAGATCTAATAAATAACCATGACTTTACCTAACAAATTCAAAGTTGGTATGCAATATTTAGATATTTTATCTGCTCTGAATTGCGAATTTGTTGCCCTCCAATTGCAAGGCCTTGTCTGGAGCTGCCATATAAGTATTTTTTCGCTTGAATGTAGGAGAGTAGTTCCAAATATGTGTTCCGGCCGCAGCGACGAATATTTCATCTGCATATGTGTGATACACTCGCATTTATAGCTTCTCTTTCATGAAAGTTTTGAGAATCCTATACTAAACCATTAATTTATGAAAAATTGATCCGTTATGTTTAAAGTTATTTAGGGTAACAGCGTAATTTATTGGAGAGTTTTTATTGATGAAAAAATATAACGATCTCGATTATGGATTATGGGATATATTTTGTTCGACTTTTAAATTCTTATATGATCTAAGTTCAAAATGGTGTAATTAAGGTTGGTTTCAATGCGAAAAAAATGAATATTTAAAAACTTAATATTTCAGCTCGACGGACCTTTACATTTGATTATTAGAATGCTGCATTTCAATTAATTGCTTAAATTTTCGCTTTTTCAGTACTGGTGATCAATTGGATTTGAATAATGGATTGCAAAATTCAATTTATGGGAAGAACGACGGAAATGCAACTCAAAAAAGTTTCCTATTCCCCATATCTGTACCAAAGGTACCTGAGGAAGTTCGTAACAAAAGATTCCTGACGCCGGCTTTCATTAAATTTATGGGCTTAGATGATGAGTCGGAAAGTGAAGAGAAAAAAACTGACAACTTGCAAACAAATAAAGAACTGCAGAGTGCTGAGAAGAAACTCGACAATTTACCAAAGGAGGAAGAATCTGAAAGAAAGGAAGTAGATCTAATAACGAGGTAAGAGAATAGGGAAAATATTGAAAAAGGGAATTGTTAGCGATGTTTACTGTAGACTGTAGGTACAGAAATTTTAATTTAGCAATGTCTTAAAAATATTTTATTTTCCAGTCCAGTCGATACAGTTTCAGTGATCGATACAACTTCAAGTAAAGCCACAGAACAGCAAGCAGAGCAAATTATTAAAACGCTACCAACAGAACTAAAAATTACAAAGAAGGAGAAGGATCTCCCCGAACATTTGGAACGGAGGAAGGAAATTAGGCGAAGGAAAAGGCCCAAAACCATTGCAAGGTAAAATATTGAAATTATAATAATTCAAATAATTTTACTTTAATAATAATTTTGTTTTCAGTTGCCAACCCAGCAGAGATCAGATGAGAGCAGATAAAGAGAATACAACTGAATTGGAAGCCAGGAGAAAGGATTTTGCAAGGTAGGGCTAGTACAAAATATTCTCTTAAATACAATCTTCAAAAATGTCGGTGTTCTTTTTAATAGCAAGCAAAGAGTTTCCTTCGAAGACCAATCTCAGCCTTATGGAGAAGATGACGATGATTTTCAGCAGAATGATTTCGCAAGTCCTGTAATGTTTACAAATAAAATTTCTTCCCGCAAGGAAGTTCCTATGGTAGTTAGCAAAAGGGATTCCATCAGCGAGTTGCAAACGAAAACTGTAACGGATGAGTTGTTATCTGAAGTCGGTAAAAGACCCAAGCGCAGGCATATTACCAGGTTGTGGAAACACATTTTTTAGAAGTCCGTAGAAGTGACAAGTTTTCTTTTTATTTTTCAACAGACAACAAAGCAGAGATGATCAAAGTATAGGAGCGAAATATGTTGAAAGGAAGCAAGACATTGATGATGATTCAAGGTGAGTTTTTTCTGAAGAACATTTGCGACCAAAAAATAAGATGCAAAAACATCAGGGCATGGATAAGTAACATGCTTTTATAATAAAAGAAAATACCGCGGCTACCCAGTGTAGAAGAGAGAGACTTTACAGGGATATTTTAAATGCAGTCCACATTAAATAAGATAAGAAAATGTGAGTTAGATTACGAAACGTAACCTAAACTGCAAACTTATAAGCAAGTGCATCACGTTTGCTTGCACATATGAGATAACTATGCGTGTTTATGCCCTCTCCATAAGATTTAAGCCTTTGAAATGGATCTCAGGCCCTTCGAGTCGGATCGGATCGGTGACCGTAAACGAAGTGAGTTAAAACTTAGTTTTAAATGCTGAAGAATTTGCCTTTAAAATTAAAGTGAATTGCACTGCTGCTTACGGCTGGCATTGTCCTCGAGGAAAGGAAGTTTGTAAACGTCAGAATGAGACTGCATCAAAAATTATGAAAATGGAAATTATTATGGAAACAATGGGTATATTAAAGACGAAAGAAGCTATAGACGAAGTATTTAAGTTCACAACAGAAAAAGTTTTGGACGCGGCAAGGGATGTACAAATACGATTAGGGATGCTTCCAAACAAGTCCAGACTGTTATCAGAGGAAGGCAGCAGAATGCAACGGCGAGGTGATACTCGAAAAATGTTACGGTGAGAATACACAAAACGCTTTTGTGACTGACATTGGGTTGCTTTTTTGCGAAAGAACAGAGGAGCTTAGAGCGAGCAAGATTAAATTATGGGCCAGAAGTTGAAATAAGTCAACGGATATTTTTTTATTTTACGAAGAAGCCAGCCGATGACTTTAACAAGTACAAAACGCACTTTATGTACATACACCTTTAAGGTCTTTCTCTAAATGTAGAGAACAAAAACGAAGTCCTTGACTTGAAGAAACAAGTTGTCGACATAACATCCGAATTGGACAACAAGCGGATGGAGCGCGAAGCACCGATAGCGGACATAAGAAAAATGGATGGCGATATAAAGGAAAAAAATGGAAAGGAAGATACCTTTAAACATGTCACGAATCTAATAAAAAATGTCAAGAATACCCTATCGGTGAACCAGGAGGCGGAACGCATGGGAAAACATTAAAGGCAGTAGTATGACAACATAATGAGTATTTGTCTAGCTCAAAGAGAGCACGACGTGCAGCTGAAACAGAAAGTGATGGGGAAAAAGGAAAATATCGCAAAGACGAAAGAGTTGCAGTAGAAGACACCATTACAGAAGTTGAAGTACTTGAGGAAGAAACAGAATCATGTTCTGAACAATTCTTAACCACTTAAGAATCCGTGTGGCAAAAGAATCAAAATGTCATATAAATGGCGAATCGGAAAGGACATAAATCATGCATTATACGATAAAGAGATGAAGACGAAAGGTTAGCCATCTATGATACTGGGGGCACAAGTTTTTAGGAAGATGAAGATGCCTAGTGGATGTGGAGCGGCTTGAAAAAGGCAGGCTGGAGTGACACAAAAAAGTTAATGTCAAACAGAACGCGTTGAGTTCACTTCGAATGTAGAAGAAAATATCAACAAAAACGAAAGAGTTGGAGTAGAAGGCCACATTACTGAAGTGGAAGTACTTGAGGTGCAAGAAGACTTGACCACTCAAGAATTCATGTGGGAAAATAAGCAAAATGTTATACTCATGACAGAAATGGGAAGAAATCAAGGATAAACAATACGAAAGAGTTGGAGTAGAAGACCCAATTACTAAAGTTGAAGCACTCGAGGAAGAAACAGAATCAAGTCCTGAAAGCTTAAAATAACTATTGTCAACCATTCTAGAATCCAAGTGGCAAAAGAAGCCAAATGTCATACTTATGGGGAAATGGAAAAGAACAGAAATCAGGGATGAACTATATGCCAAAGAGATAATGACGAAAAAGGATTGTCATATACGAGCCTTGAGTTATGATAGGATGAAGGAAGCACAAGTTGTCAGGCAGATCCTGATGGCTAGTGGAAGTGGTGCAGCTAGAAAAATGCAAGCTGGAGTATATAGGCTCGAATATTGCCGAAATTTCCAACCACTAAAGAATCCAAGTAACTAAATAAGCAAATCGTTATCTTAATGGCGAAACTGAAAACGACATAACTCAGGGATGAACTGCATGCCAAGGAGATGAAGACCAAAAAGGATGATTATCTTCGGTGCTGGAGCCATGATATGATCAAATAAAAATAAGTTTTCAGGAAGACGATGATACTTAGTGGAAATGTTGCAGCTAGAAAAAGGAAGGCTCGAGTGGCAGTAAAATTATGAGCACTGGAACGATAACCTGTTCAAGGTCTGTAAGATGGCGCTGCCAGAGAAATCTCACATCATCGGATACAGAAAGAAGATGACATATGAATAGAATTCTGCCTGGAAATTGAAGTTGGCTAGACAACGAAGTTAGGATCTTTTAAAAATACCACAGGGAAAGAAGGGTGCTTTACTTAACATATTTTTCGTTAATCAATTTAATTTTTTAAAATTTTTCCCCTACCAAGAACGTTCATTGATAAGTGAATCTGTTTTTGCAATAAAAGGTACATATCTCTCCCTTTTACACTTAATGTTAAGTTGGGTTAAGTCATATTATCGTGAGTAGTTTTTAAGGAATAAATATTTAGTGCATTGCAAATACCCACTGAAAAAAGACGTTTTATGTCTTTAAAAATTATCCCAGTTCAACAACAGCCATTCTATATTTTTGGAATGCTGGAGTTGAATTTCTGTGTTTAATTCTATGCTCGATTGTCACAACCATTAATGCATTAATTTAATGACATTTTCCAATTTCAGCAAAACAAAGTCCCTGGTTATCATTAAAAATGGTACATATCAAACTATGGATCCGCCTGCCGACAAATACCATTCCCTTAAACCTGAGCTAGGGTAAGCAAATCATTCCTTCTTTTTTCCATGGAAAACTTTTATTTCCGATTTTCTGAAATCTTCAGGCCCATTGAGGTATTACCATCTGCGGAATTCTGTGCGAAGGGTATGGAACACATACAACCCATATTAGAGGAATTAATCAAAACCGAGGAGTCCTATGTCGAAAGTATCTGGAAAGGTTTGAAAAACTATGGCAATGTATTCGAACAACGTGATCTTCCCAGAGGAATGAAGGGTAAAAAATATGTCCTCTTTGGAAATATTGAACAGATTGCCGAATTCCATAGAGATATTTTCCTGCCAATGCTGTTGAGAAATCGCAACAATATCAAACAATTATTTGATCAGTTTCAACGTTATATTGAGGTAAGTTGGATATAATGTCGTCTATTTTGGGCGTGGGGAGAATTATAATTTCTTAAGGTGGCAAGTCACCTAATTTTTTGGGATAGGATGGCCAGGAGGTTAGGCTAAAGAGTTTGCGTAACTACCTTACTCGGGACTTTCGGTTGAGGTTGATAGCAAAGCAAAGAGAAAGTATAAAATCTTTCGAATATGATCTTTTGATAGGCATTGTTAAACTTAGAACAGAGAGAAATTGGCTTCGGACAGCGACAATAACGACAAGCAGAGCTGTCAGGCTGGAAATACATAAAGAGCTTGAAGTCATGGCTGGGCATATTTTGTGACATTTCATAAAAGGATTACAGAGCCGCACCAAAATCCTGCCGTCGTTTTCCATTATAATTTGACATTAATATGCCTAGCCATGACTTCAAGCTTGTTATGTACTTAGCCCTTCATTTTTGCCGATTTATCTGCATTTTGGCGATAAAGGCCCACTAAACCAGTTTGACATATGGCGTAACCTGGTAATCCATCATTCCATTAGGTTCAGACCGCCTCCCCATAATCGTCGCCATCAACAGACCACCCCACTTCAGAGACTCCGAATGCCGCACTTTCCTTAACTATGGAAAAGCCAATTGGCAAGAATTCAGAGAATATACCAATTACCGCTTCTGGAACTACCAATACCATGTCCAGGTAGCAAATAGGTATTATATCCGTTGGTCGAATACCTGAAATAAGACAGCAGCGGGAATAGCAAATGAGTGAGATGAGCTTCGTCGTACAAACCCTAATAATTCTGGAGTTAGGAAACTACTCTGGAGGTAAACAGGTTAATTTGCGAACATAAGCGGAAAATGTGTGTAGATAATCTGCAATATCAGTACCGGATCGAGTAAATTGCGGACAATGGTTAAGTTGCTTTTGAACCTAGAAAAAAGGATGATCGAACATCTGTCTCATTTTACGGAGTGGAAGTAACAAATCCGAAGAGATGTACGATATATTTCAACCGGCAATTCATAGAACACCCAGAGATTTGCAGGGCTAAGAGAAGGATTCTGAGCCATTTAGGATCTCTCCCAGCGGAGGAGGTACCATCACAATTTACGTTGGAAGATGTTGCACATGTCATCAGAATAGTAAAGCGCATCCAAAGCTCTTGGTTCGGACGGAATCTCCATGGTGATGGTGATGCAACTGGATAAGCCATAAGTTGAGTACCTTACTAAACTTGTCGTTAGCCGCTAATACTTATCAATGCCTGGAAAATGGACAGGGTGGTCCGCTACAGAAACCAGGGAAGGATGCCAACAAAAGTGATTCGTGCTGATCGATATAACGTTTATCGGCAGTAGCAAAGGTGTTAAAGGCATTACTTCTCCCCAGCATAAGAGAGTGTTTTCCAGTAGCTGATCATCTATACGAACTCCGGAAATTGTATAGCATAATAACAGCTTTGCACGACGTTTCCACAAGTGCCAGAAGAGGACTCAGACAGAACACTTATGGTGTCACTTGATTTATCAATTCAGAATTAAGAAGTCGAAGGGAAACAGGTGGTTTCCCAAGGTGGGGTGATATCTCCGGAACTGTTTAACCTTTCTGGCATTTCACGCCCACCAGACAGCTTTTAGTTAATAAGGTACGCGTCCGGAACTGTCCTTGGTGGCATCTGCGAAAGGTTGAATCTTTACTTAGTTCATTTTAACGTCTTTTCCGTTGCGGGGATTTTGAAAATATCCGCCACGAAATCGATGGCCACACTTTCCGACCACTAAATACCCCAAGGTCTTAGGGGTCACATTCGATAGCCTCCTTAAGTCATCCACGTCAAATTTGAAATAGAAATAAGGTTCTCAAGTCTCTGGCCGGCAGTACTTGGGGAGCTGATAAAGAAACCTTGTTGACCACTTACAACCCAATAAGCTGGTATGTGATATACCATGCAGCTCAGGTGTGGTCCACCAACATATGTGCTACGAAATGGAATAGCATTCAGTGCTGGCAGAACGCTGTCCTTAGAACTGCAACAGGGTGCCTTCTTATGACACCCATTGACCATCCACATAAGAGGGCGAAGGTCTTACCGGCGCGGTGGCATAATAAAATATTCAATTCTTGCTAGATGTTGTAAACTCGGTCATCCTAATCACCATCCGGTGAAAAACAAAATCTCCATCCAGGCAAGTAAGACCTTCTTGATCTATAGAGAGAAGCACAGAGATATAAGAGAGAGCGAGAGAGATTGTAGATCAACAAGCCTGTTTTGAAGGATATTCCTTTGAAACTACCAGAACCAAAAAATACGGCCAAAACAAACTGTTACCTATGCGTCAAAAGTATTTCCTTTAATTCTAACTTCTTTTCTCAAAATTTCAGGAAGACTATTTTTATGCCTACGTCCTGTATGCCATGAACAATCAGAGATCTCTGGAATTGTGTAATGAAAATAAGAAGTTCTTCAAGGTATGAAATGACAAGAAAAAAACTTGTATTAGACAAGATATTTAAATAATTTCCCTCTGCCACAGACAATGCAAGCGAAATGTGAGGATAATTTGGGTATCAATAGTTTCCTGCTACAACCAATACAACGTGTTCCAAGGTACTCGCTGATGCTCAAGGAATTTATAAAGGTAAGTAGCGCAACAAAAAATATAGCATTTCCATGTTAAATATAAAAAAAAGGCAAAAAGTGGACATTTAGAAGGCTGCTTGGGCGCCACTCTCTGGACTGTCCCTAACAAGTTATTCCCTGCAATTTGTTTCATTTCCTTTTTTATTTTTCAGAAACTATTCGATAAATATCCCATGAAACCCCTCATCGATTCGTGTTGCCGTTTGGATAGACGTTTACAGATTCTCCTGAATGCCATCAACAAATCGGAGGTTATCAACGATGTGGATTGTATTAGTGAAACACATGAGGTTTGATTTTTTACATTGCAATACCTTACCAGATTTAGCATCTCAAACTTTTTTCTCGTTTCACAGTTCAACATTTTCTATCAGGGTAAATTTCGCGATGTGGCCGAGTTCAGCTGTCACGATTTCACACTGAAGCGTAACTATCGTTCGAAACTTTTCATCTATGAAAAATGCATTATCTATACGGAAGTTAAGCGCAAACAGTTGGTATTTCGTGGTCGTTATCCCCGTGAACATTTGGGCATGACCATGCAAAATAAATCCTTTACTTTGTACTATGATCGCCTGAAGCAACAAGAGTGTGAATTTGTTGGCGACCCAGCTTTGGTGAGACAATGGCAGGATTTAATACGTGACACCATCAATGCCTATGCGGTGGAGGAGAAGGTCCGCCTACAGGAATTACACAATCCAGAGGTGGTGCATAGGCGGCAAAGACGTGCTGCTAATCTATCATTATTCCGCGATTCAAATCGCTTTAGCACTGATAGTGGTATTAGTAATACTTAAATGTTACAGAAGGTTTACATTAGAGGGTTTCTGCTGGATTAAAATCCTTTGCGGGGATGTATTTGGCATTCATGCCATGTAATTGGCAATATAAGTACATCGGACTTAATAAATCCGGTAAACTGTAAACTTTGTATTAGATACACTTACTCATTATCACTTATGGGACAGAACTTTATTAGTGATCTGAAATAAATGAACTTTCTTGGAAATGTGTTTTTTTTTCTTTGGGTTTGACCAACTAAAGGTGGGAATACATAAAGCGCTTATTTGGCTGATTTAAGTCATGGGCTGGCTTCTTCGGAAATTAACAAAGGAACCTAGGGCCAAAATTTAACTAAAAATCAAAATTGAACTAATCTTAAAACTCCTTTGTTCCTCTACGAAGAAGCCAACCGATGACTTAAGCCAGCCAAAGAAGCGCTTTATGTATTCCCACCTTAATACCGTCCCTCCTTAACAAATTGTAAAATATGGAAGTTTTTGTATAAAGTTCTAAAAAGGATGAGCGCGCCGGACCCTTTTTCGCCTCAAATATTATCGATAAATCAATTATCACATTTGGTCGGTCTTATCTTATCTTATATCACCCTTATCGCGAAAATAAACACCCTCTCGGAATGAGTTCCCTAATCACAATCCTCAATTTGTTCACGGGGAATGTGGTAACTTCGAGAAAAGTTTCCCCTTATCGTGAACGGGATTTTAAGGGAATTTTGCTCGCCCTGCACTACAAAAGTGGTAAGGATATTATGTCTTTGTGCGTTTGTTTTTAACATGGAGAAGGAGCCGAGATAGAGTCTTTTATGGGTATTCACAGAATCACTTTCTGAGTCGATGTATGAATGTCAGTGCGTCTGTTCGTTCGTCCGTCGGCCGGCCATGTATTTTTGTGAACAAAATGCAGGTCGCATTTATTATCCGATTTAGATGAAATTTTCCAAACAATAACTGTTTGGTCCAAGGGCGAACCCTATTAAAATTGGTGAGAATCGGTTCAAATTTATATATATCTCCCATATATATATTCAACCGATTTCGGGTTAATTGTGCACCAAATGGCGAATATAAGCCCAAATGACCTGAACTTTGGCACATCCGACCGAATTCAGTCTAGCAGCAAGTACATCAAATTCGGAGTAAATCGAGTTCCAATATATACAGGGTGAGTTAAAAAAATTGCAACAAAGTTAAACGCATTAATTTTTTCATATTTTTTTTTTTAAATTTTATTTACTGAAAACAATGTCGGAAATAGCATCAAATTTTAGAATAAGTTTAGATTGGTTCGAATTGGTCACCTTTGGCCTTCAAACGGCCAATGAAACCGTCACACGCTGCTCGAATGTTGCTCTGCGGTATTTTGGCCCATTCCCGGCGAAGCGGTTGCTTGAGGTGATCGACACTTTGGTATTTTTTAGTGCCAACTTTGCTTTCCAAAATACTCCAGACAGAGATAGTCCAAAGGATTGGTATCCGGAGATTTTGGTGGTCATTGTGCGCTGGAAATGAAGCGAGGAACAACAAACAGTTGTAGCCATTCTTGGGTGGCGCGTGTTGAGTGCGATGGCGCTGAGTCCTGTTGGAATGTCCAAGGTCTGCGGCCAAAATGTTTGTGTGTCCAAGGCTTTAATACACCCTCCAGAATATTTTCGCGATAATATTCGGCATTTATTCTGATGCCATGGTCGATTAATACGAGCGGAGAGCGACCATCGCCTGTTATGGCGGCCCACACCATCACCATGACCGGCGCTTGAGTTCTGGTGGCCAACCGAAGGTGTACATTTTTAGCTGACCTCTTTGGCAAGTAAACACGATCTTTTTGTTTGTTTGCAAACTGCTGGACAACAAATGTTTTCCCCATCGGAGAAACCCAAATTCGGCAGTTCACCACTTTCGGCGAAGCGAAGCAAGTCTTTAGCTCTTTTAAGTTCTTTCATTTTTGGAATTTCAATGGCTTTACCCCGAGCTTATTCTTCAATATTTGCCGAATGGAATATTGCAACATATTCAGCTCACGAGCCATTTTTCGGCCACTGCGACGGGGGTGTCGATCAAGTCGCTTCTTTACTTTTCGAACAATGTCTGCTGATGTTCTGTTTTCTTCCGTCCACTTCCTTGAGGTCGGGCTACGCAACCAGTATCACAGTAACGAGCGATGGCACGAGACACAAAATATTTATTCACATTTAAATGCTGGAGTGCTCTAACGATAGCCGCTTGTGGTTTTCCAGCCAAATATAAATAAATTACACTATCACGCTTGAATTCCATTACGAATTACTTCTTTTCTGTAAAATTCCCATCAAAATGCTTTTGAACGCTTGTAAACAATATAATGAGTTGGTTGCAGTTTTTCATCTCATCCTGTATGTAATGTTAGCCCAAATTGATTAGATTTTTTCATATTCAACTGAATTTTACTATTTGCTGAAACTCGGTCCGGTAGATCTTTTCCTCCAATAAATATGTTTTAATAGAATTCTTATCGAAGTCGTGTCGTGCACTATGTACCAATGTTATTTGGTTCAGAGTTGGTATGGTCTACTTTATATAAATTTCCAATATAATTTTTTTTGTTACGGGAGCTTTACTAAATACACATAGTGGTTTAGGGTCTCATTTAGTCGGCCCCACCCGACTTTTGACATTTCCTTACTGGTTTATTTTGAAAATGTTGCTCAAATTTGACCAATACTGTAGTGCTAACAGCACTAACTTTGGTTGTTATTAAGGAACATGTTAGTCTAACAGATACTGTTACGGTTGGCGATAAAAACTGTTGTTGTTGATAAAAAAGCTACCAATAGATGGCGACATTAAAATTGAGACCATGAAGCGTATTTAGTTTATTCCATTCCCACGAGATGGTGTTGATGGCATTGTCACGTTATCGTGGCATAACACATAGCCAAATGAAGAAAACTTAGTTTTGACTTTTTATTCCGGTGGCTCTCATCATGTTTTGCAGAGTCAATATGCGGATTTACGCATTTAGCCCACTCGACTTCGAAAACACATTTTATCGTTTTTTAAGAACTTCACTTGATTAATCCCGAATTTTTCGATGTCATCACGTACTTTTCGCATTTCTTTTACTGTGGAACAATTTTTAACTGACAAATATCCTACAGTTTTTGCTATTTTTTAACGTTTTAGAATTGAGTGACTTCAATATTCTCACTCAAACCCCTGAAACGATATAGACGGGATCTGCTGATTCGATTTTTTTTCGAAGATAAACGGTGAGAGCATTTCGTTGTCTATATTTTCATTTGTCTATGTCAATAGACTATTTAGGACTTAAAAACATGAGGGATTTGAATTAGTCTGATATGCAGACGAAGTTATAATACATCTGGGGGGAATGCATTCTAATTTATTATACCCTCCAGCATGGTATGGAGGGTATATTAAGTTTGTCATTCCGTTTGTAACACCTCGAAATATACATTTTAGACTCCACAAAGTCTATATATTCTTGATCAGCATAAAATGCTATGTCGATTTAGCGATGTCCGTCCGTCTGTGGAAATCCCTCTAGCTTCTGAACGAAAAGAATTAGGTTGATAAAATTTTACTCAAATGTATATTATGTCTGCAGGGCTTTTGGTATTGAAAATGGGTCATGTACGTCCACCTTTTGGTATAGCCCTCATGTAACGGTACCTCCCGATATTCGATATTTTGATGATTTTAGCGACATTATTCACTGGAAGTGTTTTAAATTTGGTATTTGATGTTCGTAATGGATACTACAGCCTATAACAGAAAATTGTCTGTGCAGGTCCACGTCCTCTTGATATTCGGTATTGTAATGAATTTAGCGATATTTTTCACCAGAATTATTTAAAATTTAGTATTTGAAGTTCGAATGGATACTACAGCATATGTGTAGGTCCACGTCTTCCTATAGCCCCCATATAACGGTACCCACCGATATTCGGTATTTTGATAATTTTAGCGACATTATTTCCCGAAATTGTTTCAAATTTCGTATTTGAAGTTTGTAATGGATACTACAGCCTATGACAGACGATTATCTGTGCAGGTCCACGTCTTCGTATAGCCCCCATATGGCGGTACCCCCCAATATTCGGTATTTTGATTATTTTAGCAACATTATTCACTGGAATTGTTTCAAATTTGGTATTTGATGTTCGTAATGGATACTACAGCCTATGACAGAAAATTTTGTGTGCAGCTCCACGTCCTCCCGATGCTCGGTATTTTGATGAATTTAGCGACATTTTTCACCGGAATTGCTTCAAATTTGGTATTTGAAGTTCGTAATGGTTACTACAGCCTAAGTCAGAAAATTGTCTGTGCAGGTCTACGTTACATAACCTCCATGGTACCTCCCTATATTCGGTATTTTTATGATTTTAGCTACATTATAAACAGATTTTTTTTTCAAGTTTCGCTATTGAATATTGTAATAGCTTGTGACAAAAGTTACCTATGCAGGTCCACGTCGTCGTATACACCCTAATACACGGCTACATTCGGTATTTTTAAGATTTGAAAGGAATTTTTAACGGATTTTATTTTTTGAAAATTGTCAAATTTGTACCAAGAGGTGAAGGGTATTCAAAGTTCGGCCCGGCCGAACTAACAGCTTTTTTACTTGTTTTTTTTTTTTCAAGTTTCGCATTTGAATATTTTAATAGCTTATGACAAAAGTTGTCCATGCAGGTCCACGTCGTCATTTAGACTCTAATATGACGGCTACAATTGGTATTTTAACAGAATTTTTAACGTATTTTATTTTTTTGAAAATTTCCAAATTCTTTCAAAATGGCGGAGGGTATTCATGTGGAGCTTTTTTACTTGTTTTTTCTTGTTAGGTCCCCTGGACTGTTGGTGTCAGGGTGAGCACCGACCATCAGCAATTGAATTAGCTGGATAACCACCACAGTACCGCATAAGGTAATACCATAACAAAGTATTTGATAAATTCTGTCTTCTAATTTATATAAAGAGATCCTTTTGCGGAAAAATCTCTAGAACTACTCTGAAACGCCTAAAAAGGAATTTACTAGTCCAATCGCAGCGACGACACCACTTCCAGTCATGCGTAAAATCGAAAGCAAATAACGCATGGGTTAATAAGATTTATTATTCCGATAACG